ACTGTATCCAAATAAATTAATAAGTTTTAATTAACCACATTATTTATTTATTAATTAAAATGCAAGTGAGCTTATGTTTTACAACAATCAGAGTGTTAGCCTTGCAGTCACTGTGATCGATTCGGTGTTAACCACTACCGTCGTCAAGCTCAGTTCTGAGATGAAACTGGATAAATATAGGAAAGGAGTGTCGACACGAGGGTGTTCGGCCCACACAGCACGCGACACGCGGCAGTATTGCCTGCGGTTTGCGCCGCTGTCAACGTTGACACAATTAGCCAGTGTGCTGGATAGACAGGATGCTCTGTCAACTGTCTTGGCAACTTTTTACAATCAGTAGTCGTACTTAACAGTTAATAGAAGTACAAATAAATGTATATAATAATACTCTATAATGAACAAAATCTTGTTGAGACCGTGATACTTGTTATTGTTATGAATAAGTGATGCAATACGATTATAATACAAAAATATTGCTTTATTATGTATTTAGTACATTGACATTTACTCTCTTAACCATTTAACATGGACATTGATCCATGCTCTAAACATCTACACGGTAAAATAAATCTCGGAGGCGAAAACAGGATAATTATATGATCAAACGAACTTACCAAGTGAAGTTCGATCTGAATTATCCTGTTTTCGCTGAAGAGATTTAAGGTCCCTCCCAACCCGAAGATTTCTATATCTTCTTCCCTGGAGGTAAACGTCAATGTCATCTCTTCTCTAAACATAATGATACCGCTCGGACACCGAGCCCACAGCGTGGTAGGGGTGGGGTTGCCCGCTCTTTTGTTTTTTACTACTACTACGCTGAATATTGTGTGCGGATTGGCTTGTCGTACAGGGGTACTACACGGTAAAATAAATCTCTTCGGCGAAAACAGGATAATTCAGATCGAACTTCACTTGGTAAATTCGTTTGATCATATAATTATTTTCAATAACTGTGTAAATAAATTACTTTCGAATTGTCTCCCCTGATCTGTTGTTACCTTGAAAAACGTACCAAATCTACAAATCCAATTTTCATAAAATACTTTTGCGACTATTTCCGCTGTTATCTCTGAAACTGGTATAACCTCTGGCCATCGTGTAAAACGATCTATCATAGTTACTAAATATCTATGGCCATCCTTACACGGTGGTCACGGTCCTACAATGTCTAAATGAACATGTGATAAACGTTCAGTAGTAGAAAATTGTTGAAGTTCCGATATCGTATGCCTATTTATCTTTGCCTTTTGACACTGTATACAAGTCTTTGCCCATTGTCCTACATCTCTATTTAATCCTGGCCAAAAGAATCGTTTCGCTACTAACTTTCGCGTTGCCCTTACCCCTGGGTGGCTTATGTTATGAATATTATTAAATACAGTTTTTCTAAAACTTTGAGGCAAGTATGGTCTACAACTTTTAGTTGAATTTTCACAATAAATAATTTCTCTACAATTTGGAATTACTATTTTTTTTTAACAATATGTTTTTATTATTACTGTTCAAAACTTGCGTCAGTTCAGAGTCACATTCTTGCGCTATCGCTAATTCCGCGTAATCTATTGCGTCCGGTCCGTGTAGCGTTGCCAACATTTCATCAGCGAAATATAGTATTTTCCAAAATAAGGTGTAAAAAATACAGTACATTTAAAAAAAATATAGTATTTTATGGTAAAAACGTGTTCCAAAATTCAAGGATAAGCCGGCGCCGTAGGATGGACATAGTGATGACTACTTTAGGAAAAATAAGGAAAAAATCAATCTTAATTATTTTTTAAGTTACACAATAAATAACGAAATTNACTCCGGGCGATCTATCATAATATCCGTCGTGAATTCGCTAATAAATAATAACTGCCTTGTACGTCTTGGAGTTTCGCTGTTCGTTTCTACTTTATTGAATGCAAATTGTAAAGGTTTATGATCGGTAAAAATAGTAACTTGTTGTCGTTCAATTAAATGTAGGGATATTCGATATACATCGATGTATTGAAAACATCGATGTTTACAATGCGATACATCGAATGGATCCGATGTTTTGAAAAGCTATTGAAATACTCGATGTATCGATGTTTTTAAGTTATCAGTGTTAAAACATCGAATCGATGATAACCAATTAAAATTTCATAAAACTCAAGTCTGACCACTAAAATTTTACTTATACGGACAACCCAACTTGTATTTTAAAAATGTTGGCAACACTGCGTACGAGTGCAGTGAGTGTAGTGTCTCTAGTGACAATAAAAAAAAACTGTTATGTCAATGTCGCGTCACGCGTGATGTCGGTCAATGTCGGTTGGCGAGTTTGTTTGTGTCAATCAACAAAGAAATAGGCTGAAAGGCAAACGTTTAAATAAACTGTTGTTTTTGCAAAGTCTTCCAAAAGAACACTGGAAATACTTAGGATATAACAAACTTATAAAAATAAATGCGGATGTTTTTTTTTTATTCTTACTTTAATATACAGTGTGAGTCACGTTAAAGTGTACATATGAAAATAGATGAAACTAGACCTATTTTTATCGACAAAAAAGAGGTCAAAAAATTTTTGAGATTTTTTTTATTTTTTATAGAATTTTTTTTCTTCCAATTACTTATTGTAAAGAAAACGTAATAACTTTTAAACTAAGCGGTATATCCTGATATGATTGGGATAGAGACATGCGATTNGAAGAGATCATGCCTCCAGTCGTTCAAGACCCAATCACGATATTCACGTGAAAAGTTCAATATGTTTTTTCGGTGCTGTGTCACAAGTTGGAGCTTTCTCGGGTATGCACGACCCTATACCAACTTCAGTAAATCTCCTGTGAACTGTGGGCTCAGTCACTCTTACTCCTCGAGTGTCTTTAAGGTTATTTCTGGCTTGAACAGCAGGTAACCGCGACTTTCTGAAAACTCGAAGTTGTAAAAAACGGTCATCCCGTCGCGAAGTACGCCTTTTTCTGACTTGAACCCTCCTCCTAACGACAGAAATGATCAATCTGTACCGTTGGTTACTGCCATGGGTGGTCGATACTGATCAACGACGTCTTACGGCAGCCGATTTGTATGCATGGCCGTTACTTCTCATTTCATCTGCCTTAATGATTTCTGACGGTGCTAAGCTGGGCATAATAAACCCTTATAAGTAACTGAATGCTTACACAACAATATTCTCAGAAAAAAACATCTTTCACGTAAAAGAAATCCAAATTAGCAAAAGCTTCATTCAATTCAAAACACTCAACGAAACTGTTGATGGGGTAATTTAAACAAAATAATTAAAAAAATATACTGTTGGCAATTATTTTTTTCATATTTAGAATTAAATTAAAAAATAATGTCATAATTAGGCATTTTTTTCCTAAAATAATGATGATATTGATGCTTTTTTTTCCGTTCCTCTAAATCTGCCGGTGTGTGTATTTTACATTACCACGACCACCATTTTTCAAATATTTCTATTTTTTTGTTTGTATCGGCAACGTAAGTAGTGCTGCTGTTCACCCCAACTCTTAAAACCCCCAGAATCCTTGCAGTTTTTACACAAAAGTTAATCAAAATATGTTATTTCCTTAAAATTTTCAACGATTTTTACTTTCACTCCACTTTGACTCATCGTTTTGTAAAAAAAAAGTATGAACACTACTGCGGCAAGTTTTTTATAAAGTTGACGCAACTATCCAAGATTCCAAAATGGTATAACACTCTAAGAAACCTAGTCGCAAAAAAGATTGCGTACCATTTTTACAAGTACTTTGCTTGTTACTTAGTTAGTATGGGATAATAATAATAATAAGTAAAAACCAAAAATTATAGGAAATTCATAATCAAAGACCCAAGTGCACTAGATGATCGATGCAGGAAATGTCATAGACAACCAGAAACCATACAGCATATAATAAACGCATGTCCAGTTTTGACCCAAAACGATTATACTCACTGACACAATCAAATCGCATACTATGTCCATCAAAAACTTGCTATCCCAACTAATATTATAAATGCGAAAGTAACTCTGTCTGTCTGTCTGTCTGTCTGTCTGTCTGTTACGCTTTCCCGCTTAAACCTCGCAACCGATTTTGATGAAATTTGGCATAGAGATAGTTTGAGTCCCGGGAAAGAACATAGGATAGTTTTTATCCCGGTTTTTGAAACAGGGACGCGCGCGATAAAGTTTTTCTGTGACAGACAAAATTCCACGCGGGCGAAGCCGCGGGCGGAAAGCTAGTTAAATATAAATTACTGCCCCCTAAAGCAGAACCATATTATCAATATACACCTAAAGCCGTTCTAGAGAGCCCCAGTCACAAATTATATTTTGACCGCGCCATATTAACCCTTAACTGGTATCGTGGGGGCCGCGCGGCCCCCACGCATGACGTTTTCTTTGATTTCTAAGTAGCTACGCATCGTGGGCAGCCAACATTTTTGGTATTCTCATTTCGGCACTACTCGCGTCTGGTGCAGGCGTTTCAGCACTGCATCATTCACCAGGACGAAGATATGCACGTGTTGGGGTCCGCGCGGCCCCCACAATACCAGTTACGTTAGTTTTTTTTTCATGGCAATTTTTATTTGTTTTTTGTTCTATTGCAGTATTGATGGCTTATAAGTGATAAAACAATAGAAGATACCTAGAACGAAGTCTTTGATTCCAAATTATCCTGNATCTCTAATAATTATCATGATAATAGGCTAGTTTCTTAAAAAAAATTTTTTTAGTCCGTCATGTTTAATATCAAAAAATATTGGACACATATATTTTTATTTGTCAATCTAACAAATAATTACATAGTTATGGTGCGTTGAAGTTCCGCACAACGTCACAACGTGCGGCACTTATGCACGCATTGACGTCACGGGCCTCTTCTTATGAACTTTGGCGCGCTTCATATCTTTAAATTTTCATTAGTTTGAAAAAGTAAAAAATACGTGTAGAGTATTTTTTGATAAGTTAACTGACGGACTAATTAAAACTCTTGCTTTTTGACCCAGGCAACATCCCTATTATCGTGATGTCGTTAACGCCCACCACTGGACGCAAGTGCGGAAATACACGTTCGAAAACTTCGAATACAGGTCATTTTCCCGAGCGCATTTTTTTTTGTTATTATCAACCGATAATTATTCATCTGTTATTATCACGATAATTATCATGAAATTAGAATCTATTCGATATAATTTACAATGACAAGGAGACCGTTTAGTGCAAAGTCGTTGAAGAGAGTGCGTCAGGGTCGTCTTCGTGGATGTTCGCTCGCGAACCGAACATTGCTCGTTCGTTCGCCGAACGCTCGCCGCCCGCTCGCTGCCCGCGGGCAATGTCCGTGCGTAGACAAGGCAACATCATCATCATCATTTCAGCCATAGGACGTCCACTGCTGAACATAGGCCTCCCCCAATGCTTTCCACGTTGATCGATTGGTAGCGGCCTGCGTCCAGCGCTTCCCTGCTACCTTTACGACAAGGCATATTTATTTAATAATAAATAATAATAAATATTTTTTCCCAGACGGTGACGCTTTTCGTCGTACCAACGGCGAGCCCACAGCGGAGGTTTACGTGCTATCTGTCGCGCCTCGCACGTAAGTATACCCTTCTAAACCTTTCCGTACTAAATATATTACAATCGTAATCTTAATATTATGTGATTAATCAGCGTTTATTAAATGAACCCATTGGCGTCGTGTTAAGGATAAGAAAAACTTTGACAAAAAGAAAATCTAAAAAGAACAAAGGGACTTAAAAGTAAGTATACACGCATATTTTTGTGCCAAAAACGCGCCCGCTCAGCATTAAGAAGGAATTAAAAAATATGCTTGAAAGCTTGGGTTAGCTTAACTCAATGTAAAGACATTTCTTCCAGTGACAAATATTCTTTATGGATGGATGGACGTTTCACTTTCTGAAGGACGAATATTATCTTTTCTCTCACGCAAACGTAGAAATAATCCCTACTTAGTATTATAAATGCGAAAGTAACTCTGTCTGTCTGTGTCGCTTTCACGCCTACCGATTTTGATGAAATTTGGCATAGAGATAGTTTCGAGTCCCGGGAAAGGACATAGGATAGTTTTTATCCTGGTGATAAAGTTTTTCTGTGACAGACAAAATTCCACGCGGGCGAAGCCACGGGCGGAAAGCTAGTTACTCTATAAAAAGATTTCTTGCGGATCACATTAAAATTCATTTATTTTTGCAAATGGGCTTTTAAAAAACACTTTTACACGTCCCAATATTAACCCTACCACTGCTTCGGGACAATAAATGGGCCAGTGCTGAGAAGAAGCAGCGCAAGAAACTCAGTCACTATTTGTCAGCCTCCTTTTCAAGGTTTTACAGTCTTTAAAATATACAAATTATAGTCATAAGTATTGATGCGAGCTAGGTAGTTAAACATTCCAAACATTTTTATCTTTTATATAATCATCAACTTTATAGTAGCCCTTTTTCATTAAGGTGCTTTTGATATGTGCTTTAAAGGACATCATCCATTTTGGTCCAAAATCAAAAGTGCCGGCCAAAAAATAAAAGTGCTGTATTCTGATAGAATACGTCCGCCTTAGCATTTATTACTATGGCACCAAAGCTGTAGCACCACTATGAATAGTCGATGACTTTTAGATCTCAAATACTCGACGCACAGTGGAGCTACGGCTTTGGTGCCATAGTAACAAATGCTAAGGCGGACGTATTCTGTCAGAATACAGCACTTTTTTTTGTTGGCCGGCACTTTTGATTTTGGACCAAAAATATATGAAACGTGGATGATGTCCTTTATGAATGGGCAATTCTACAACAGTTTGTGGTAATTTACTGAAAAGTTTAATTAGTGTCATCATTCTTTATCGTATCATTGTCCTTGCAGGGCGGACGGAGAAGCGTCTTCGGAGCGCCGCAACGACTTGGCTCAGCCGGCGGACGGCTCCATCCGACTGCATCCGCATTTCCAGGTGACTGACTGAATTAAAAAGAAAGAAAGAAACATTTATTGCCATGGACATCACAAAAGACGTAAAATAAAAAAAAAAGCAAAGACAGAGGTGACATAAAACATACAATGAATGAGCAAGTAAACTAAGCAGTGCCACCCTGTCGCACAGCGATGCCCATCGCAATGGACTCCACTCAGCATATGCCGTGGCCCCCGGTGAGGGAGGCCACGACGCTGGTTTTCAGTGTGTGAATTACAACCCCTAAACTAAATGGCAATGCCAGATTTTGTATGGAAGGTGGCGTCTTTTTTTTTCGCGCGGCCATCGACCAAACCTTGTTTTTTGATCACAAAATAGTGTAATAAACCAAACTTACTATGACATGTATACCTCTAAACTCAGTCTGAACTGAGTTACAAGCGTTAGAAGTTTGATGATTTTACATACTAGATTTGCTTTCTGCGCGCAAGTTTTGTAAGAAATTGCAACAAAATAGTGACATTGTATGTGTAAACAAACAATACCATCCATTATAGGCTCCAGACATCAGTGTGGAGCAGAATCAGCTCAATAAAAAAATAGCGCAATATTTTGTTGCAATTTCTTACAAAACTTGCGCGCAAAAAGCAAATCTAGTATGAGAATCATCAAACTTCTAATGCTCGTAACTCAGTTCAGACTGAGTTTAGAGGTATACATGTCATAGTAAGTTTGGTTTATTACACTATTTTGTAATCAAAAAACAAAGTTTGGTCGATGGCCGCGCGAAAAAAAAAAGACGCCACCTTCCATACAAAATCTGGCTTTGGCATTTAGAATGTCCCAAATTCAAATCGATGAGCATAGAAATCATGATAACGCTTCTTCTCAGCACTGCATATTACTGTTCCGAAGTGATAGAGTTGGGACTTTAAAAGTGCTCTTTGAGAGCCTACTTTCATAAATAAATAAATAAATCTTTGGACAATTTCACACTATGGGTGTTTAGCTTGACAACTATTGACTTGATAAATAAACGATTTGATTTTAACCTTATGCTAAGGATTTTAAATGAAAGTCCTTTTTTAAGGATTCAGTCTATAATCTTCTAGGTTGAAGGTTTTACATGGTATAAAGAGCAAAAGTGGAAAAAAGTGAGTTTCGCGCTCGAGAGTTGGTTTGAAAATGGCCAGTAGTCGATACTACGCTTCCACGCAATCTATGCACATGTCGTGGCAGCTTTTAATTAAGGCTACACTATAAACACGTATTGTTTTCTATGTTTTTTTTTCCTGTTAATTGTGTATGTCTTGTTAGCTGTCCTTAAATAAATAAATAAATAAAATAAATGGCCGGCGTCTCGCTAGTGCGGTACTGCACTTCCTGTTTGGAGGCATTAGTGTTGCGCGTACCTCCGGCGAGGGGTGGAAACGGTGGAATGCGCCGTGCGCGAACACCTTGATATCGATATTTCCTGTGTATTTCCCATGTAAACTCTGATTTTTAATTCGACGGAATTTTGACATTTCAGAAGTGTTTCCAACATTGAAACATTCCCACTAAGGATGGAGAGCATTTTCACAAATTAAAAAATAATCCTTTCTTGAATTTAAGGTTTCACTTAAAAAACTAAGGCTTAAAAATGTACTGATCATTTCAAAATGGTTATTTGAATTTTTATTATCATATTTTAGAAGTTACAAAAAAAATTGGGAAATTATTTTTCTATTACTGGACTCCCTGGCCAATAATCCATGGGTTACAAACCTTTTTTATGAAAATCCTTTTGTTAATAAAATCTTAGCTTCATAAAATAATCAATTTAAGAGCGTTGTTGCAAAAAGTTGGCATTCGAATTTTAGGTTTTTATTGCTTGACGTCGCGTAGTGAGTGCGCAAACTGCATTTATCTGTACAATTTCAACGCTGCGTCGACTAAACGATCTTAATCCGTAGTTGTATCGTACCTAAGACAGTACATCATACATAATAATAAAGAAATAATGTATAATTTACCTATTTGATTTTTTCTCAGATCAGACTTTTAGCAAAATCAAGTTACGTAATTAATGTATTTTTTACACTAGTAAATCCCGCGACAAGTTTTTAATCTTTAAATTGAGTAAAGTAATAAGTTGATGGGTTTGAAAGAATTTATGTTTTANCTTAGAAATAAATTTGTTGTAATATTAGTTCAAAGTTGTGCCTTCGCGAGTTATCTGGAAATCGGGCTTTCGAAATTCGCTGTTTTCGTAGGCAAAAATCCAATTTGAACGAGATTTTGTCAATAGACATTCCGTAAAAACGTATGATAATTACGATGATATAAGTCAAAAGAAGCTATAACAATAAATTATATGACTAAAATCATTTCGAAATCTGCCAAATTCTCGATTTCTGCATGAAAAATGTGACAACGCTCTTAACAAGATGCCAATTTTATAATCCAAGTTGATTATGATGACGATAATGATGATTGAGGATCAATACATATTTTCGTTTATGTTAATATGTTGTTTTACTGTGTTAAAAACACGTTTTTTTTTCTATTTATTCTCTAAAATGTACATAATAATTAGTGTATATTGAATTCTCACGAAACAAACAATAGTTCATTCTTGTAAGTTGTAGTTGATGAAATTTCATTTCATATTATTTATTAATAATTCAAAGCAAAAAAGGCTTATTACATCTGAATTGTCAAAAAATGACAGCTGTCAGAATTCCGTCGAATTAAAAATCGGACTATAAATGATTATTCTCCTTGCACAGGTGGTGTGTGGCGAGGAAATCCGCGCGTTGTTGTTACGGGCGCACGCGGCGCCGCAGCCGCAGCCGCCGGCGAAAGTGCACACCCAGGTCTGTATATTTTATCTATCTTACTCACTTTTAGAAGGATACTGTTATTCTATGTGTAAAACAATTTATAACAAGATACCAAATCGCTTTAAAGAACTGCATATAAATCGATTCAAGTCAGCTTTGCGCACGTGGCTTTTGGAAAGAAGCTTTTACTCGATTGAATTTTTAAAATATAAGGAATAATAATTTATAATCATTAGTCGATGCAGGGTTTAATTTGCTTGTATTTGATTGTTTGTGTTTGTGACGTCATGACTCTTAATGTAATACTGACTAATATTGTATTCTACTATAAATGTGGATACTTACTACTGAAAATCAATATTAATAAGATATTTAATGTTAATCGACATTTAATAATTATGTAATACCAATCGACATTTAATAGTATGTAACATCAATCGACATTTAATAATAATAATATGTAATACCAATCAACATTTACCTAATCTATAATTTGCATGCTAACTGACATTGGCTAAATAGGACTGCACTTTTATAAAATACCATCCACCACTTATGTATTTACCCTATTTATAAGCAAATAAAGAATTTGAATTTGAAAAAACTGTATTGTATTGGTCTTGTCATCTTTGCATGCATTATTTGTTTTGTAAAGATGTTTTGAGTATATCTTTGTCAATAAAATAAAATTAAAATTAATAGCAGGGACCAAGACCGTATCTATCCTACTTATCTCTTTAAAGGTTCTTTTAAGGTTCTATAGTATAGAAGGAAAAACGAAACCTGTGTAGTAGAATTTCCCATGTAGGAGGGGGAGTGTAGATAAATGACAAAGGGGCGTAAGAAGATATCATGGGAGCGTAAAAAAAATTCAGGGGAAAGGGAGAATAATGTCACAAGGAAGATAAATATGTCAGGGTATGGAAAAGTCAGGGGGTGTAGAAAAAATGTCTGGGGGAAGGAGGGTAAAATGACTTGTGGGTCTGGGGAAATGCCAGGAGACCTGGAATATGTCAGAATGGTGTGGAGAAATTGCCCTGCCCTTTGTTTCGGTCCATTCTATTGATTTTATAAATCATCATTGTTGCCGACGCGTAAAACCTCCGTGGTAGAGGTTTTTCTCTTAGGTTTGATTTACATTAAAAACTTCGTTTGACATCCTGTCAGTTAAAAAGTATTCCGTGCATATAGTTCCAAAATACTGTGGGTCTAGACAAAGTGCAAATTATAATCGCAAACCAGTCGAAAAGTGGTCGAAAAGCCCCTTTTTTGTATGGAGTTTTGACGGATTCGATTTTCGATTCGATCAAAAAGTGCGTTTTGTCTAAGGGGGCTGGACTGTCCTGTCGATGACATTGACAGTGGGGCGCCACCGTCAATACCGGATCGCTGGTTTAGATTTTTGCCATGTTGGAAACCATATAGTTGAACGATGGTAGCGCCCCCCTGTCATTGAGTTTGGTGGGACAGTTCAGCGTGGGTCATCTATACGCTGGTGGCTTACAATCATTGTCTATTTTACAGGTGGACTACATCCATTGCTTGGTACCGGACCTCCAGCAGATCACGGCGTGTTCGTTCTACTGGGGCAAGATGGATCGCTACGAGGCGGAGCGGCTGCTGGATAACAAGCCCGAGGGTATGACAATACATCATCATTACAACCTTGCCGAAAGGCATTAAGTCCGCCTTATTACACTGTTTTATGTGCAATTTATCTATCTATCTAAATAAAAATGAATTGCTGTTCGTTAGTCTGATCAAAACTCGAGAACGTCGGGGCCGATTGAGCTGATTTTGGTTTTAAAATGTTTGTCGTAGTCCAGGGTAGGTCTAAACGGTGAGCAAGTAAGGAAAAATTGCGAAGGCTTATTTATTGCCTTTAAGGCGGAACAGAGTTCGCCGGGTTAGCTAGTTATAAATAAATAAGTAGAATAAATTATAAAGAATTTAGACGAACAGACATTTAATTTTTCCAGGACGTTGTTCCATTTTCTCTTTCTCAGGGACGAATGTTCGGTTTTCTCTTTCTCAGGGACGAATGTTCGGTTTTCTCTTTCTCGAGGACGAATGTTCCGTTTTCTCTTTCTCGAGGACGAATGTTCCGTTTTCTCTTTCTCGAGGACGAATGTTCCGTTTTCTCTTTCTCTAGGACGAATGTTCCGTTTTCTCTTTCTCAGGGACGAATGTTCCACTTTCTCCTTTTCAAGGACGAACGTTCTACTTTCTCCTTTTCAAGGACGAACGTTCTACTTTCTCCTTTTCAAGGACGAACGTTCTACTTTCTCCTTTTCAAGGACGAACGTTCTACTTTCTCCTTTTCAAGGACGAACGTTCTACTTTCTCCTTTTCAAGGACGAACGTTCCATTTTCTCCTTGACGAACGTTCCATTTTCTCCTGAACGAATGTTCTTATTTCTCCCGGACGAATGTTCTTATTTCTCCCGGACGAATGTTCTTATTTCTCCCGGACGAATGTTCTTATTTCTCCCGGACGAATGTTCTTATTTCTGCCGGACCAATGTTCTTATTTCTGCCGGACGAATGTTCTTATTTCTCCCGGACGAACGTTCCATTTTCTCCGGGACGAACGTTCCATATTCTCTAGTACGAATGTTCTACTTTCTCCAGCATATTTTTAAGAAATGTGTACTGAAACTTTTTTGTAATATTTATTATGTTGAATTCACTGGAAAACCTTGGGAAAGGCCTGAAACGAACGATTATGCTGAGTAAAATTTATCAGTTAGTATGTGTATATCTAATGTCTTATATTATTAAGTATAAGATTAGAAGATTTTAATTTAATTTAATTTATTGTACAGATTATTTTATGCTCAGTAATTTATATAAACTTTAATACTTCTTGTATGGGGTGGAGGGTTAATATTCTGAGCAACAGGAATTTTCCTAATTCAGGTATTAACCTGCCACAATTTCTTGATTGTTAATAATATTCTTATTGTTTTATATGTATTGTATGTGGTGACAAATAAACAATTAATTATTATTATTTATTATTATCTTATCTTATCATTGCAGGCACGTTCCTCCTCCGCGACTCGGCGCAAGAGGAGCACCTATTCTCCGTCTCGTTCCGCAAGTACGGCCGCTCGCTTCACGCGCGCATCGAGCACTATCAGCATCGGTTCAGCTTTGATTCCCACGATCCCGCTGTTTTCGCCGCGCCTACTGTCACTGGGCTTATTGAGCATTATAAGGTTTGTGGGTGCTTTATTATTATCTTCTTTAATATAAAAATGAATCGCAAAATGTGTTTGGTAAGCGCATAACCACGGTAATACCAAAGTAAATACAAATGAGTAGGTTATCTTCATAGAAACGCACCGAACGCGGTTTGTATGTGAGCGCGCCAACACGTATGCGGCGCGCACGCACACACTGACAAAATTTAACGTGGATTAGCGGGGAGATGCGCCGAATTTTGTCAGTGTGTGCGTTTGTATTTACTCTGGTAATACTATATGATATTATTACCGTAGCATAACTCAACAACGCCTGGTCCAATTTTACCAATCCTTTTTTTTTAATGTTTGTTGAAGTCCAAAGATGGTTTTTACGGCGAGAAAAAATAGAACAAATTCCGGGTAAACCCTAAAAACAGCCCTTTTTTCACGTGGGCGAAGCCGCGGGTGGTAAGCTAGTTTCATATTTATAAAATACGATGTTGGCGGTACGATTATAGCCAGATACTACAAATATTTTTTATGTAGGGACACATAAGGGCGCATAAGGATGCGCTTTATTTTTTTTTTCATATTTTTAGGGATAGGACATTAGTAGAGCTACCTCCCCTAGCAGTTTGATTCACCCATTCTGGGACAGCCTGTATAATGATGTATTTGTAAATCATATTTTGGCTGTAACCTGTTTTGTACGTCTTATGGCTGATTTTTCAATCGTCAGATAACTTTTATATGAAGAATAAGTTTGGCACATTGACAGTTTCAGTATGGGAAATATGTCAAAATGACAGGTTATTCTTCAGATAAAAGATATCTGAGGATTGAAAAATCAGCCCTTAAACAAATAAATAAATGATGTAATATGTCGCAGGATCCGGCGTGCGTGATGTTCTTCGAGCCGATGCTGACGGCGCCGCTGCCGCGCGCGGCGCCCTTCCCGCTGCAGCAGCTGGCCCGAGCTGTGATCGTCTCGCACACCACCTACGACGGTACGTATAAATTTCAATTATTATTAGTACGAATGAAAGCGCTGCGTGGGCCGTCCACCCACAACGTAGACCGACCTCCTAATAACGATAGCAAGTGCTGGAGCAGGGTTCAAAAGGATAATTATCAATGATAATTAATTATCACGATAGTTATCGTGATAATAACAAAAAAATGCGCTCGTGAAAATGAACTGTATTCGACGTTTTCGTACGTGTATTTCCGCACTTGCGTCTAGTGGTGTGCGTTAATCAACATAGATAGTTTTAAAACCTGTCTATTTAGCTACACAATAATCACTAGTTATCTAGCGTCAAAATATTTATCTATTTTCCAAGCTTTATACGACTAGCGATGCGGATAACTTGACAACAATCAGCTACCAAAAACATAAAGAATTTCAGAAGAGAATCAGAATTTCTTATGAAACAATGACAAATGTATGTACTGTTGATAATTATCCGATAATTATCAGATAATTATCATGAAACGTAATTAAACTTGATAATTTCTAACCCTGTGCTGGAGGCAGGCCAATTGGTCAAATATGCCATGCCAATCTGAGCGGTGTTAATGGGAGCTCCAATGACTGAATGATGTAGCGGGTACAATAAACTGTTCCAGTCTTAACGTAGTGGATTCGGCTGCCATATAATTTTACTTATTTATAGAAACCAACAGCATTACATTAATTAGTTATTTAACAGTTAATCGTTAAAATTATGATTATTAAATATTCTGTTTGCATGTGTTTTTTAAATAAATTATTTCATTTATTTTATAAATGGAGACAAGTATGTATTCCCGTAAGCAGGTTTTAAGACGCCATCGGATCCAAAGCGAGTTGTTTATACGAGTTACCTGCTAGGCTGAAAACATTTAATTTTCGGATAGATCCAGTTAATTCTGTAACCTATTATTGGTACCGTTGGATAGAGCTTGTGAAGCACTTTCAGGATCAGTTTTTCGATATCTTGTATAGTTTAGAAATAATCGAGTGAGATCACTTATCGTTTCCACCCTGTATATCTCCTCCAATATGTCCACCTCATGGTAGCTAAATGGGCTTTTGTCACGAGTGCTAGAACAGTTGAGCGACGAAGGGGCTCGAACCCTCGTTCCCGTAATAAAAATATGCTTTTATGATGTAGTTTCACCCCCTTTCCGGGGTTGCACTTTATGCAAGGTTACACTGTATTTGACATAGCTGGAGGGGTTTGCTAATATTCTTTCTAATTGGAAGCCACGATAGCCGAGCGGTGAAGGGGTCAAACTGGCTGACTCGTGATCCGGGGAACGCGGGTTCGGTCCCCGTTGCTTCTCGACTATTGTGGTGAGCTCACTCGTGACACAAGCATATTTAGTACGAGAGGCTATCGGGATTGTTAGTAATTTGTGCAAAAAAAAAACAAATGACTAATAGCAATAGTAATCTTTAAAAAAATGTCTCCCAGGTGTGGAGAAGCTGCCGCTCCCTCTGCGCCTGCGAGCATACCTCAAGGAGTACCACTACCGGCTGCGGGTGCGCGTGCGGCGCCTTGAGCCCGACCTGTTCCCGCCGCACTGCTGAGGCGCCGCCTGCGCGCTGCCGCACTGCCAGCGCGCCGCGCTGTGGCGCTGACACAACCGCTGTCTGCTGTCCAGGCTGTCTGAGAAGACAGCGCTCGACTGGATGGCTAGACACTGTTTTTAAACTGGCGCTGGACTGATGGACACTGTGTGTTAATGAGTGATAACTGTGCGACTTAGTGATAACCCCTTAAAACGCCTTGTGAGACTTAGTGACAACCCCTTGTGCGACTTAGTAATAACCCCTTGAGCGACTTAGTGACAACCCCTTGTGCGACTGACCGATAACCCCTTGCGCGACTTAGTGACAAACCCCTGTGCGACTGTATGAGCGAGTGACATCACACCTGTTCCCGCCGCACTGCTGAGGCGCCGCCTGCGCGCTGCCGCACTGCCAGCGCGCCGCGTTGTGGCGCTGACACAACCGCTGTCTGCTGTCCAGACAGTCTGAGAAGACAGCGTTGGACTGGATGGCTAGACACTGTCAATAAACTGGCGCTGGAAATGAGTGACTTAGTGATTACCCCTTGTGCGGCTTAGTGATAACCCCTTGTGCGGCTTAGTGACAACCCCTTGTGCGACACCCCATGTGCGACTAACGGACAACTCCATAAGAGACTGAGTGACAGAAACTTGTGCAATTGACTATCCTGTTCCCGCCGCACTGCTGAGGCGCCGCCTGCGCGCTGCCGCACTGCCAGCGCGCCGCGCTGTGGCGCTGACACAACCGCTGTCTGCTGTCACGGAGTGCCAGCAGCTGTGTCGATGAGCTACGATTTCTAGTCGGTTAACTGTGCGACTATAAACCGGCGCTGGACTGTGTAAATGAGTGATAACTGTGCGACTTAGTGATAACCCCTTAAAACGCCTTGTGAGACTTAGTGACAACCCCTTGTGCGACTTATAGACATCCCCTTGTACGACTGTGTGAGAGAACCTTGTGCCACTGACTATCCGAAGTAATGGTGCTGATAAGCTACATTGGACTGCTGCGTGACTTATACTACGACTATTATAGACAACCCCCTGTGCGACTGTATGAGTGAGTGACATAACACCTGTTCCCGCCGCACTGCTGAGGCGCCGCCTGAGCGCTGCCGCACTGTCAGCGCGCCGCGCTGTGGCGCTGACACAACCGCTGTCTGCTGTCACGGAGTGCCAGCAGCTGTGGGAAAAGTACGCTGGACTGGCTGGCTAGACACTGTCTATAAACTGGCGCTGGACTATGTTAATGAGTGATAACTGTGCAATTGAGTGACTTAATGATAACCCCTTGTGCATCTACTGAGTGACTTAGTGACAACCCCTTGTGCGACTTAGTGATAACCCCTTAAGCGACTGTCGGATAACCCCTTGTGCGACTTAATGACAGACCTTTCTGCCAGCGCGCCGCGTTGTGGCGCTGACACAACCGCTGTCTGCTTTCTGTGCCCCAAGCAGACGAAATAATGGCGCTGATAAGCTGCATTGGACTGCTGGCCACTGTCTGAAAAAAAAGTGCGACTTAGTGACAACCCCTTGTGCGACTGACGGGTAACCCCTTGTGCGACTTATAGACAAACCCCTGTGCGACTGTATGAGTGAGTGACATAACACCTGTTCCCGCCGCACTGCTGAGGCGCCGCCTGCGCGCTGCCGCACTGCCAGCGCGCCGCGCTGTGGCGCTGACACAACCGCTGTCTGCTGTCCAGACACGCTGGACACACTGAGAAGACGGTGTTGGACTGGCTGGCTAGACACTGTCAATAAACTGGCGCTGGACTGTGTTAATGAGTGATAACTGTGCAATTGAGTGATTACTGAGTGACTTAATGATTACCCCTTGTGCGACTGACGGATAACCCCTTAGAACCCCTTGTGCGACTTATAGACAACTCCCTGTGCGACTGTGTGAGTTAGTGACTGCCAGCGCGCCGCGCTGTGGCGCTGACACAACCGCTGTCTGCTGTCACGGAGTGCCAGCAGCTGTGTCGATGAGCTACGATTTCTAGTCGGTTAACTGTGCGACTATAAACCGACGCTGTACTGTGTAAATGAGTGATAATTGTGCGACTTAGTGATAACCCCTTAAAACGCCTTGTGAGACTTAGTGACAACCCCTTGTGCGACTTATAGACATCCCCTTGTACGACTGTGTGAGAGAACCTTGTGCCACTGACTATCCGAAGTAATGGTGCTGATAAGCTACATTGGACTGCTGCGTGACTTATAGACAACCCCCTGTGCGACTGTATGAGTGAGTGACATAACACCTGTTCCCGCCGCACTGCTGAGGCGCCGCCTGCGCGCTGCCGCACTGCCAGCGCGCCGCGCTGTGGCGCTGACACAACCGCTGTCTGCTGTCCAGACACGCTGGGAAAAATGTGCTGGACTGGATGGCTAGACACTGTGTTTAAACTGGCGCTGGACTATGTTAATGAGTGATAACTGTGCAATTGAGTGACTTAATGATAACCCCTTGTGCATCTACTGAGTGACTTAGTGACAACCCCTTGTGCGACTTAGTGATAACCCCTTAAGCGACTGTCGGATAACCCCTTGTGCGACTTAATGACAGACCTTTCTGCCAGCGCGCCGCGTTGTGGCGCTGACACAACCGCTGTCTGCTTTCTGTGCCCCAAGCAGACGAAATAATGGCGCTGATAAGCTGCATTGGACTGCTGGCCACTGTCTGAAAACTGTGCGACTTAGTGACAACCCCTTGTGCGACTTAGTGATTACCCCTTGTACGATTGAGTGACAACCCCTTGTGCGACTTAGTGACAACCCCTTGTGCGACATATAGACATCCCCTTCCGTGACTTATAGACAACCCCTTATGCCACTGACTAACCTGTTCTCGCCGCACTTCTGAGGTGACAAAATCTTCCTTGTTAGACTGGCTTGCCACTATGCGACTGAGTGATAACCCCTTGTGTGTGAATGAGTGAAAACAGCCCATGTTACTGACAGATTACTTCTTGTGTGAATGCTGAAAAAAACCTGCTATACAACTTTATAACTACTTGTGTTTGACTGACTGACTGATGAATAACCCCTTGAATGAATTACGAGTAACCCCTTGAACGAATGACGAGTAACCCCTTGTATGACTGACTGATAACCCCTAATATGTGAGTGACTGACTGATCAATTAACCCCTTATAAAATAGATTGATAACCCCCTTGTGTGACTGTGATTTTTCGTGACTGAACCCCCTTTCGTGAAGGACTGGCCTAATGACAGTGGACTGTAGAACCAGCGCAACGTATTGCTTGCTAGCAGTGTGCGACAGTGATTCAGCGATGCTGTGTACAGTGACAGTAGTGCGGTTACAAGTGGCCATCAAACCCACGTGTGTGACTTACGATGGCTGGCACAGTGTTAAAGTGCGGTGTTAAAGAATAGTGACTAAAACAGTTCAACATTAAATGAAGTATAGTTGACCTATACATAAGTCAACAAACCTTTTTTTGTGTCTGGTTTTGCGGCATTTGAAAGAAGATGAGTTTAGTGTCTCATCATATCACCAAGGCGTTCAGCAAAAAACAAGATCTACCAATAGGGTGACAGTACTAAACTGGGATATGGAAGAATGGAATCCCCGAACATATGGTACATGGATCCATCGTAACAGTATCTTCAGTGACAGAAGTATTATGCAATTTGGTGCCATATTGCTGACACAATAAGAGCTACACTATACTAACAGTGAAACTGGAGTAATTCATCAAAACAGTGGGCCAATGATAGTTTGAGCTTATAAAAATGGACACTACGGGACTATTCCCACCTCTCGTTCCCACCGCTGCAACTCCTGTGCAGCCAGGATCTACAGCTTGACCGCCGATAACCCAACCAGTGAAGGTCAAGTTTGTCCTGGGGGAAAATGGACACTAAGAACAGTATAAATTACCGTTTTTTTGTTGATAATCAGTAAGGTACTTGAAAATACCTATTACTGTTAAGATATTGGTTAAACTCAGTATACCAAGAGAAATTTATTATGGACAGCAGTTGGGAATTTGAACTTTGCGCACGGATAATAAAGAACATAATGAGCCTTGCTCAATTTACCATGAGTATTACTATTTAAAATATTCGTTTGGCCATTATAACATAGATAGAGTGTGTTTACCGTATGATGATGTTGAAATATCTGATGAATTATCGAAGTGAGAGTTATGAGAAACACAGTATTCTGTGTTAAAGAAAAGTGATTTGAAAGTGATTTAGAAATTAACGAATAAATTGTAGCTCAATATAAAAATGTGTCATAAAAATTTAAATAGACGTTACATTGAAGAAACTACTTGTAAATTGATAAGACCGTCCTTCGTACGTTGGTGAGACAATTCAGTAATATTAACGGATAAATCATGGTAAAATCAATACAAATATACTAAACTACGGGAATATATAATGTGTGTATATTAACAGAGTTATAGTAAATAACTATATTTTATACTAGTGTAATGGATATGTACATAAGACTATGTACAGGCAAGTGTTTGCTTGTGAAAAGTTTAAAGTGTCATTTAATTTCATTTTGTATAAGTTAGCAAATATTATTTGTCTAATTCTGTGCCTTTCATTTGATTTTTAGTCTCATGTCTTCAGAGGGGTTAGTGTGAGTCTACATCAAAAAATGAATGGAAATTTTAGTTTTTGAACGTTTCCCGCTAGGGGCGCTGTACAATCCGTCATACATTTAATGTCACTTTTACGCAGTCGACATACGACGTAAACTCACGCTACGTCCCCTGTTCATTAACATTTAATTTAACGATCAGCGCTTCAAAATAGAATGTTACATTATCTTACAGTCTGAGTAGGCGCACACCGTTGATTTTTCGTCGGCCGATAGTTTAGTCGGGCAGTTGATCAGTATGGGCATGTATGGGAGTGCGCACACTACGCCGATTCGATTTGGCCGATTCTTCATACAATGTAAAATCGGGCACAACTATCGGCCAACTAAAAATCAACGGTGTGCGCCTACTCTAACTGTATAATTATTATAGTATTTTTATTTTGTGTAATTGTTTAAGACCAGCTTACATAAACCGCTTTCACATTGGGGTGTTAGATGCGCGACAGCGGCGTTTTTATAATGCAAAGGCAGGCATCCATTGTCATATTTAAAGTAACATGAAAATCGGCGACTGTCGTGCGTTTGTCGCGCTGATGGATTCGCCTGAATGTGAAAGCGCTCTTACAGTCTTGCAACTGAAATGATGATTCAAGCCTTTGATTGGTCTAATTATTGAAATTGAATCAACCTCAGGTGCGAATCATTGCGAGTATCGTTTTAGAATAACGCCCGTATCCACAAACATTACTATGAGGTCTCACAGTGCGCGTGGACGCACAGAGTGACACATGAACCAATCGCCTCTATTCAACGCTGTGCGTTTGATTTGCTGTTTCAAGTAAGTATACGGGCGTAAGAGCCTTTATAAAGTAACTTTGGGTCAAAACATTATTTTTGTACTTGAAGCAACGATTAAGGATTTGCCACACTGAATGCGGTCTGCGGTCATGTTTGAACAACGTTATCAATCTCTATGCATCTTAAATTGATGCGATCTGAAAGTGCGGGCACGAACAAAGAACGCAAACTGACAGGTGCGGATTACGTTCATCTGACCAGTGGCCTAATTCACGTATTTTGACAGTCAAGATCTCGCTGACGTTCAGAAGTCGACCCATTGAAATACAGTTCTAAATCCGTACAAGGGTCATTTTGATAGAACGATTACTCGATAGGATCGCAACTAGTGTTTTGTTGTCGCCGTGAATAAGGCTACTGACCTCAGATCACAATATCTAGTGTGACAAATGCTTTAAATTGAAGGAATTTGAACCCAACAGACCAGACTAACGCCCGTATTCACAAACATTACTATGAGGTCTCACAGTGCGCGTGGACGCACAAGGTCACACACGGACCAATCACAGCTCTATTCAACTCTGGGCGTTCGATTTGTTGCTTCACAAGCAAGCATCGTTTGTGAATAAGAGCGTAAGACCATTTGATAGGGTTATGGTATGGTTTTCAGCTTCTCTGTCTCTGTATTTAAGGTACTATATCTCTCTCACTCATACAGAGATGATAGCATGAGACAAATAAATGAAAAACGATTACTAAATCCTAAAACTGCTAAGACGTTGTCCTCTTACTAATAAAACTAACAGATTGCTTTATAATTTTGTCCCTTTCTTTATTATTTCCAAAGAGAGAGAGAAAACATTAAAAGCTGCTGATGTATTTTTGAATTTCAACTCATCGAGTTAGCAAAAAAAAGCTAGTGATTCAAAAATAAGTCTCCACGATTTTTTAGTGAGAGATATTTAATTATACTGGATAATGGTGTATTTAATTAAATAATCTTACGGCTTGGAAATCAAGAATATAGCTGTCTCTTTTCAACCCATATTATACGAAAAGGTCGGCTATATTGATTGAAAAAAGTCGACAAACTTGTTTTAAGTTATGTACTAAGAAACAGAAAACATTTACTAAAGTAAAAATGTATTTTTTTTTCATTTTTTAATGTATTTTGTATTAATCATGTTTCAAAATTGTCTTGGGAGCCATCAACTATAAGTATTTGTACATATTGTGTGTAAACGTTAAGTTTGAGCGCCTAGCGAGGTGTTGTTATGTATTTTGTGCCTGGACACTATATTTGGAGTTTGGAAACATATAAAATCCTTAACTTTTACTTTACATAAGTCAGAGCCCCTCTAAATTGGTTGAAAACCAATTTGGCACGTTATGTTATTACAAAGTCCGGTCGCCGAGGACATATAATTTCGTCCAATGACCTCAAGCTACCCATCCTTATCGCTCGCGAGTAAATATATTGCTGTTGCGCTTGCACACTCACTGCTGCCGCCGCTCGTATAATTACGCGCGACCGATAAGGATGGGTAGCTTAGGGTCATTGGACGAAATTCTATCTGCTCGGCGACCGTACTTTAGAAGTGCTAAACTCAGTCAGTTCCTGATGTATTGGAGCGACACGTGAGGGTGCTTTTGTGCTGTCAAATGTCAGCGACACTTCAACCCCCCTAGATAAAACGCACTTTTTGATCGAATCGAAAATCGAATCCGTCAAAACTCCATACAAAAAAGGGGCTTTTCGACCACTTTTCGACTGGTTTGCGATTATAATTTGCACTTTGTCTAGACCCACAGATCTCGTTCGTATGTTCTATAACGTCGTAATATATCAATGTCACCCCTCCCGTGCCGATTCCATACCTCAGGCATTGATTGAAACGGAAGATTTAACTTCTGTATATGTTTCTGAAGTCCATACATAGTTGTTGACCACCATTGATGAAAGTTGTCTGTACTAAAGTATATTTTTGATAAGAAAATTTTGTTTGTCTATTTCTTCTTTCATAAAGTCAGCTTCAAATACTTCGTGACACTCAAAGTAGTCAAAAAGTTCGCACGTCTTTGTTACAATAGGGATGATGACTGGGTAATGAAATCGAAATTATATTTAGTCCGTCAGGCAGATAATAAAAAAAAATTGGACACATTTTTTAATTTTTTTTCATAATCGAATATATACAGTATTATGTTGAGTTGAAATGTCGCGTGACGTCACTTTTGAGTAAAAAATCTACTCAAGCGTGACGTAACGCGCCATTTCAACTCGATGTAGCACCACAGAATAATAATAAGTACTACGTACAGAAGTTTTACTTCGCGAAGGTATTTAAAAAAATGTATGCTCAATGTCATTAACAATATGGTGTAATTTAGCCTGTCTCAAGAGTCAAGCACCATTTTGTTGACAAACGTCAGTGATCGGCACTGCGCCGAAGCTATAGGGCTGACTTCGGTAAAATGATACATGTGACCTTGTCGAAAAGTACCCTGTAGGTGGGCCATCGTGCGTGTTTTGTTTTCGATGTAAACTCGCGGAGATGAACAGGCCTGGTAGCACTGTTATTATTTAATTATGGAAGAAAATGAAAAATATGAGTCTAATATTTTCTAATTATCTGTCTGACGGACAAATAATTGAAATTTTGTCATCTAGCCTATTGGAATAAGGTTGTCTTGTCAAAAGACAATGCCGGAAATTGGCGTCATTTTTTTTCGCGCGGCCATCGACCAAACTATGTTTTTTGGATACAAAATAGTGTAATAAACCAAACTTACTATGACATGTATACCTCTAAACTCAGTCTGAACTGAGTTACGAACATTAGAAGTTTGATGATTAAAAAAAAGCGCGCAAAAAGCAAATCTAGTATGTAGATTTGCTTTTTGCGCGCAAGTTTTGTAAGAAATTGAAACAAAATAGTGACATTGTATGTGTAAACAAACAATACCATCCATTAAAGGCTCCAGACATCAGTGTGGAGTAGAATCAGCACAATAAAAATCCCAACTAATATTATAAATGCGAAAGTAACTCTGTCTGTCTGTCTGTCTGTCTGTCTGTCTGTCTGTTACGCTTTCCCGCTTAAACCTCGCAACCGATTTTGATGAAATTTGGCATAGAGATAGTTTGAGTCCCGGGAAAGAACATAGGATAGTTTTTATCCCGGTTTTTGAAACAGGGACGCGCGCGATAAAGTTTTTCTGTGACAGACAAAATTCCACGCGGGCGAAGCCGCGGGCGGAAAGCTAGTAGCGCAATATTTTGTTGTAATTTCTTACAAAACTTGCCCGCAAAAAGCAAATCTAGTATGTAAATCATCAAACTTCTAACGCTCGTAACTCAGTTCAGACTGAGTTTAGAGGTATACATGTCATAGTAAGTTTGGTTTATTACACAATTTTGTAATCGAAAAACAAAGTTTGGTCGATGGCCGCGCGAAAAAAAAAAGACGCCACCTTCCATACAAAATCTGGCATTGCCATTTTTGGCCACTTTGGGTGTCACGAACTATTTGACGCTAACTGTACTGCAATCTGCTTTTATATTTTATACTAAGTTAGGGCTACAGAATATCGACAATATTTATATTTACGTTGTAGAAAAATCTACGATTATAGTTTTGTTTAGGTATTTTTTCATAGGAAATTTTTGTATCTAAACTATCATGTAAATTGTATGTACAATATTTTGTAAATAAAAAGATATATGAATTAAATTATGTACTAAATTATCTTTTTCTTTCTATCTTTCAATGTAATTTTTTGTTCTTTACAAGTTTCTTTTTATAATTTTGTAAAATTCGCGTTTTTGTCAAATTACAAAATGGTGGTTGACATATAAATGTAGGTACAGATATTATAATTAATTACATAATACTATTATGTGATAGTATCGGAAGTGCATAATAATATGTTCTTTAAAATATATAAAAAAGTATTATTATATTAACTTTGTTTTATTCAAATGCTTTAATTTGATTTTCGGCAGGCAAAGACCTAGACTAGTATAGTCCGGTCTGTGAGCACGTAGGATTTTGTCCAATGACCCCAAGCTACCCATCCTTATCGCTCGTGCGTAATTATGTTGCTGTCGCGCTCGCACACTCAGTGCGGGTGCCCGTCGCACAGTCGCGACAGCAATATAATATGAAGAATGTAAAAAAACTGCAGTATATCTAACATCATCTTTTATTACATCAAATAAATTATAAAGGTCATAGACAATAATTATTATCGTTATTTATTAATAAGAAGCGCATGCAATGCCTGACACCCGCGACACATTCACCTAATAAGACCATTTCTATTATAAAGTAAATTTTAATAAAATAAAACATACGAAATACTAGAAACAGTCTTATCTCACAGAACTTAAAGCTTATACAAGGTACAATAACGCATCCACTGTCCTTAGCACTTAAAATAACAATTTAAGAAAAATCTACCAAAAAAACCTCTTTATTTTATGTGGCAACATTAGTAAGATCCTCGATGGCAGTGACTATGGCAGATTTCTGATAGATTTCCCTAAATTAAAATTAAACATCTTTAATACTGATAATAATATAAATCACTCTATTTTCAGTACGGCTAGCACGAAAAACTTTCGAGTTCGAATCTACGTATTCGAATCGCCATCAGAAGATTTAGTACGAAAACTACAACAGCGCCCTTGTGAACGTGTCGTAAATAGAGATGGGTTTCCACCCGGGTAAAAACCCACATGAGGGTAAAAACCCAATAAAAACCCGTTTCATTCCACCCGTGGGTGTTTACACCGGGTGAAAACAAATAATTTTATAATTATTTCAATTGGTATCTTTTCTTTATTTTTATTGAATTTTTCTCACTTAAGTTTATTGATTAATAAGTAATAAGTCAAATTTAACACTAATATGCATTTATATCGTGGCCAAATCGTAAAATTGATCACGTTATGATGTTGTGACCAATTATTTTATAAAATGGTGTTATTTCAAGAATCGTTGAACCGATTTAAAAGAAATTTAGTAGGAACACAATAATTTGTGATCATGGCAAGGACATGGAGGGGGGGATGCCAAAGATGCCAAACTCTCTCTTTGATGACATTACGGTATAACGTTACAAATAACAACACCAACTACAAAGTACTTCTGCTTGAAAACTTGAAATCGACCGCCCTTCCGCCACTGTAACGCATTGTAACGTTTTTCAAGACCTCCTCTCCCCCCAGATTGCATTACGTAACACTAGAACGCCCCCTTAGCAACAAATACCACTTCTCACTTTAAAAAAACGCTATTTTTGTTTTCACCCACCAGAATGGGTGATAATGGGTAAAAACCGGGTTTTTACCCAAATCACCCAGTTTAAACCCAATCGGGTGAAATGGGTTTTTACCCACTACCCATCTCTAGTCGTAAAGTGAACTGAGTATGAGAAATAGTTGCACGAAACTTATTTTGAGAATCAAAATTGTCACGTTATCGTTTAATTCGAAGGTTGAGTATTGAATTTTGTCGAATACGCAAACGATTCGAAGACGAAAGTTGTTCATGCTAGAGGTACAGAAATTCCTAAAACGTAGTATTTCTTAAAACTGCATTTACTACAAGGAATTTCCTATAAAATGTATTAGGTCGTCAGTTGCGTTGTCCAGTGTTACCGTGTTCAAAAATTCTACCATTTTGGTAGTGAATAAATACGGAATGCATATTAATGTATTCTTAAAATTAGTCTTACGTCTAAAAATTTACAATAACGCCTAAAGCGGTGTAGCAACGTAAGGGCAATAAATACAATACATTATATTACAAAAGTGTCACATAAAATTAGCGTCTTAAATGTAAAGATGGCAAGATTGTTGAAGTACAAATCACAATAAAAGGATATTGGAAAAATCTTAGATATTTTAGGCAGAATAACTTCTGAATAAACTTTATAAAAAGTAATTTCGTTCGACTCAATGATAAACTGATCCTATTTCATTTCATAACTTATTCTAAAATATTATTATCATTCTACATTAATAATACTAAATATTAAACAACTAGAAGTAAAAATAAATATTTTATATAATTAATTAATAATTACAAAATTGAACACATATTTTTGTAATAAAACAAAAAAGGTTTATTTTAAATAGCGTCTTAGAAAAAAACAATAAATGCAATACTTTTTGTTCTTAAATATCTGAGTATGAAAGTTTTAAGTATACAAATTTATACTAAAAGGTATATTTTAGGACTAAATATTCCGTAGGTGCTAGGTTTCATACAAAATGTTAATAAAATGCTGGACTTTGTAAGTAGGTTGCATAAAATATAAGTATTTTAAAATCAGACGTTTTTGACTAAAAATTACTTCAATATAAAATCAGTGTTTTAAAGAACTGAAGGTTTTATATCAGCTTTAGAAAAGTGTTAAAACATCTATGTTACTTAGGCCACGACTACATTTTGTATTACTTATTTTTCGTACAGTAAATTCGTTAAAATTATGGTCTTCTACAATATTCTTAGCTTAAGTGTAAATTTAAAACTGTCCAAAAGCAGAGATAAAGGGTCAAAATTATTGTCTATGGCAACTCGTTGGTTCAGGCCCTGTTTTGTGGGAAACTACCATTTTGGTAGTTTTTGAAGAGATTTTGAAGTATGGCAATACATGAGTAGGGTTTTAGATTTTGAAACATAGAAGATTATGGATTATAACTTGTAATAATGACTAAATTAAACATTATAATATGGCCACTTGTAAACATCATTATTAGATCATTAAAATAATGCATGGTGATATGATTTTCTACTAAAAATAATGGCAAGGTGGCATTTAGAAGTAATCATTTTGCCATTCCTAAAAAAGTGTTGAAACATATCTCAAAATCAGATACATGGATATATTCACAGAACGTTAAAAGAAGCGTGTTGCACCATAGCTCTTAAACGGATGAACCGATGTGGATGCAGTTTTTTTTAAATGATGTCTGTGATGTATAGAGTTCCATGGAAGTTTATTATGATCACCTATTTTCACCACTACGCTAAAGAGTGGTGTTATTAAGATCGCTATGTGTGTTTATGTATGTGGCACCGTAGCTCTTAAACGGCTAAACTGATTTTGATGAGTTTTTTTTAATATCTATGGAGGTATATAGGTGGCGACACCGTAGCACTCAAACGGGTGAACCGTTTCGGATGCGATTTTTATGGTGTCAGTTGTGTATGGGATTCCATGGAGGAGTGTGGGGTTCTGAGCTGTATGGGGTTCCATGGGGGTAGTCAGTATCCTAGAGCAGGAAGGGCGAGCTTCTGGGGCACTTCTTGCCGCACGCGCACTTGCGCACTATCTCTATCTCTTTGGTGTACCGCGTGCCGTCTGCGCACACTAGCCGGATCTGAAACGTAACAAATATTGGAATAAATAAGGGAAACAATAATAAAAGGCATTCTCTGCCAGTTAATAACTGAATTAGTTTTAATTCAAATTGAAATAATTTATTTGTGAAACACAGGTAAGGAGTATGATGTACAAACAAAAGATGTGTTCAAGCCGTGATCAGCCTTGTCGGCATACAAATGTTAAAGCGTGATTATAAGTAGGTATATTATGTTAAAAGAAAAGTAATAATGAGCAAATTAAATGTCAAAATCATAAATGTCAGTTAAATAAATTGTAAGATTAAAATAAATTAATGCAGGGCAGTCAATCGCATATTAGAGTCAATATTAGATTAAATCAAGGTTGTCAAGGAAGAAATTGTAGAAAAACTTTATTAAAATTGTAGGAAATCATGTATTGAATAAAAACTGTTACTGATCAAAAATATTTAACTACCTACGTTAGTAGTGCTGGAGTGGTGAAATGTGATTTAAAAGAGCGCACGAGTTGAAACGCTACAGGCATTAAAAGAAAGAAAGAAAAATATTTCATTGCGTTTATAGGCCTGTAGCATTTCAACCAAATACTGTCTATAGTCTATAGTTGGACAAAGGCCTCTCCCAAGGATTTGCAAAACGACCGGTGCTGGGATCCCGTGCTTCACGCTACCTTCACGATCGTTGGACCGGTAGTAGGGACACTAAGTTCTAAATCAATTGGTGAACTCGTGTCTCGATTTATACTGAGCGGGCGCTTTTTTAGGCACGAAGATATATCTTTCGGTGTTTTTTTTGTCTTTGTTCATTTCGTAGATCAAATCACGAAAAGGCGTAAGTAACTAACAAAATGGCTATATAACATGCATTAAGATCGTAACTTAATTGTTTGTCAGGAAGCCAGTATTGACAGTTTAAAAGGGCCAAAATACGCATTTATCATACTTGAAATGTAGCTCCTGTAAAATTTAAAAAAAATCAGTACGTCTTTTCGTGATTAGACCCACGTTTTGTGTTTTGTAGGTATTACCATGACATTTATTTGTCATACAAATTGCAAAGTTTATCTATTCTAATTTAACTTTGCAATGGAGGGAAGTCGAACCTTAATTTCGAACTCCTCCTATGTTCTTCTGATTAATTTCATTGCGTTGCGGGTCCAATGATAGTTTAACTTTCCCCCGGGAAACTAAACTTGACCTTCTGTTCACTGGTTGGGTTTTTATGGCGGTTAAGCTGTAGATCCTGGCTACACAGGAGTTGCAGCGGTGGGAGTGAGAGGTGGGAATAGTCCCGATGATACTAACCTTCCTCTTCTTAGTCTTCCTGGGCGCGCAGCAGTGCGCGCGCGCGCACGCTCCTTTCGCGCTCGCGCAGCGCGCGCCACGCACCGCGCGCCGGCTGCGGCACTTGCCTTCCGATATGAACTCGCGCGTCGCCTCCTAATACGGAAACATTACTGGTATATTATTATACTTAGTAAACACGGGCATTCGGCTCGAAATTGTACATGCTTCGGGCTGGAAGGACCAATATTTGACGTAAGATCTATTTTTTAAATGCATAACAAGGCAGTTATTTGACCACAATCTATTTAGTTTAATACGCGCTAAAGTCGCGCGCCGGCTGCGACACTTGCCCTCAGATATGAACTCGCGCGTCGCCTCCTAAACAAATATTAAGTTAACATCTGGCTCGAAGGACTAAATCTGACAAAGAAACATAACATAACGTGGGGTACATTCGGTTGAGCATGAAATGTGTTTAACTTAAAAAATGTAAATCCAGCTCGAAGGACCAATTTTATTTTGACACAAGAAATCATTAAGCATGATTTAAAATCTTGCAGCATGCAATCATTTAATAAAATATGTATAGCATCATGCTTGAAGGATCATTTTTTTAATCTGTTACGTGGATTTAAAAACGTAGAAGATGTTCAGTTGAACACCTGTTTAACTTTTAAAAAACAGATCCGGCTCGAAGGACCAATCTTTCTTATATTTGAGCGGAACAAAGTATTTTTTCTTTGGAGTGCATACTCATTCCTGGCATAAAATAAATCAAGATCTCGAACCGTGTTCTACTAAAGTATAAATAAACCATAAAATTATTGCCACAAGTCCATACCTTTCTACATCCTCCGCTAGCTGGCGTTGAAGGCGAAGGAGCGTGCTCGGCTGGCAACTGCTGTTTGTGCGCTGGCGCCGCTGTGGAAGTACATTTTAATTAACTTCAACATCATTAGGGTTTTTAGATTCCACTGCAGCAGGAGCACGACTGACCCACGACATGACCTCAAATTCTATATGCATGCATTGTTAAGTTTCTGGTTGAGAAGGCATAATAGGTAGGTACTTCATAAACGAATTCACTCTTGCCCTGTGGTGTGGCGTGTAAATAGCCACACCAGGAATAGAAAAATTGCGGGGAAGAAAGATGATGCGGGGGTCGGCTGGTGACTCCAAACAACTCAAAAATACAGCTGCATAAAACGGAAACCACCAACCTGCGGATCAGAAGACGGAGACCAGGCTTCGAGGGTCGACCCGTCGATATTTCTTGCGGTTTTGATTATTTCAATATCTTCAGCAAATATTCAGCGGATTTTTCACATTACTTCATTTGACAGACGTTCCAAGACAACATAGAGTTTTTTCTTCTTAATTTCTATAGAGGTTTTCCGCGAAGGTTGGCTCCTGCGAAGGTGCTGGCCCCGAATCCGATAAACAGATTAGTGGGAAACCATCTCATGCAGCTAGAAAATTTGAGAGTTGGAGCCACCGAAGAAAAGGAAGAGAAGAAAGTTGGACATAGGCCCAACCACCCTGCGTTTTTTGTATGAAGTTCTTCGCTCAGTGTTCAATCGGATTCAGTCATGTCAATGATGCGATCATATTCATTTATTTACTTCGCAATGTTCAGAATAAAGGGTAGTATAAGATGTTCAAAATGTTACATTGCTACCTCCTAGAGTAGTGGTCCGTGATGGAGTGAGTTTGCCCCAGAATATGCCTTCGTTCATAAAATAGTTACAGCCTTAAGTCCGCTCAGAGAGTATGTTTACCGTGACGTAAGGGTGGTATCCTGTCAAAACCAAATATCAAAAACCAACCTGGTGAAGCCTGCACGTTGCTGATGATTGAGGACTGCGGCTTCCTGACCGGCAGCTTGCTTTGCGTGATCACGGGGGCGCCTCCTACAGAAAGATTAAATTAATTAAATTCTTAACTATCAGATTTCCAGGTAACCCACGATCAGGTACTATAGTAATTATTATTCGATTCATCACAAATATGTATTTATTTTCTTTTCAATTCTGACTTTAGCTCATCTTCAAACCATCCCCGCTAACTTCTCCCATTTTTGAAATACTTATTTAACTGTGAAAGGTGGTATATTTTTATAGTCAGGAAAATACATGTACCTATTTATATACCCACCAGTGGTGGGGGCAGCTAGTGAGTTATGAGGAGTAGTCTGTCCTTCTGGCAGGACCTAATCACTAATAACCTGACAATGCCCCATGAGTCAAAAACGCAGGTATAGGGAAAACTACCCTTTCGGGTTCTCCCTGACTGACAAATAATTCACAAGCGCTTGCTCGTACCGTTCTTGTGGCACGCAATGTGTTGAAATCATTACGTCGACGCAGCGCAACGTTAACTCCTGTATGACATCTGCCTTTAGACTTTCCAAATTGTCAATCCCTACCAATGAGACAATTTTTTTTCACTTTTTTCCACTGTCAGTCATTGAGAGGGCTCTTTAATGGGCAAAAGCAGGTCCTCTTTAGTAGCAGGTGGTAACATATCCTTACCAATAGAAGCCCTAAGCTCGCACTGCGGGCCCGCGGTCCCAGCGCGGCAGCGGCACGTGTAGTCGGACGGCGAGCCTTCTTCTCGCACGCAGCGGCCGCCACGCGCACAGGGATTCGGGACGCACGGGTCCTGCGAAGAAGGTTAGTATACATGACTGTGACATCATCACCATCAGATTATTTAGGTCCTTTAATAAAACACCGCTCAAAATATCCGCCCTAACCCCAACAGATAGGAGGAGGGATATGGGGATAAGGGAGGTATGAGTAATAGTGGAGCCATGAGTGATAGGGGAGAGAGACATGGGGAAAGAGGATTAGGGGAAGAGACAAGGAGTTAGGGAGGAGGGACAATAGTTTGGGGGAAGAGACAGTGGGTTAGAAAGAAGTGACAAGGGGTTAAGGAGAGAAGGGCCAATGGCTTAGGGGAAGAGACAAAGGGTTAAGGAAGAGACAAAGGGATAAGGAAGAGACAAGGGGTTAGTGTTTTAGTTACCTGACTGTGCATCTGTCCATCATCTTGGACAGACGGCGCGGGCTGAGGCGCGGAGGGCTCTTGTGTGTCTTTATGGGGAGAGTGGGAAGGGAGGTTACTCACCTGACTGTGCCTTTGCCCATCATCTTGAACAGACAGCGCGGGTTGTGGAGCCGGCTGCTTGTCGTCACCGCAGCTCGCCGCCGGCCGCTGCATGCGGGCTGTGTTGCTGAAGTCTACGCGCTTGTGGAAGACAAGGGATATGGAAGAGAGAGGATAGGAGATAGGAAGAGGAATATGGGGATAGGAGAGGCATGAGTGATAAGGGAGGGAGACATGAGGAAAAAGGATTGGGGCATTGGGACAGGAGGAGGAGGGACAATGGATTAGGGGGAAGGAGACAAGGGGTTAAGGGAGAGGCAAGGGGTTATGTGAAGAGACAAGAAGTTTGGGAAGAGACAAGGGGTCACTTGGACGAGAGACAAGGGGTTAAGGAAGAGACAAGGGGCTAGTACTAGTTACCTGGCTGTGCCTCTGTCCGTCATCTTGCACAGACGGCGCGGGTTGTGGAGCCGGCGGCTCGTCGTCGCCGCAGCCCGCCGCCGGCCGCTGCATGCTGACCGCGTTGCTGAAGTCCACGCGCTTGTGGAAGACAGGATGGACAGAGGGAAGGGGATAGGAGGAGGAATATGGGGATAAGGGAGGCATGAGTGATAGAGGATGGAGACTTGGGGAAAGAGGATTGGGGCATTGGTTTAGAGAAGAGACAAGGGGTTAAGGGGAAGAGACAAGGGGTTAAGGGAAGAAGGGACATGGTGTTAAGGGGAAGAGACAAGGGGTTAAGGGAAAGAGACAAGGGGTTAGTGGAATAAACAAGGGGTTAGAAAAGAGACAAGGGGTTAGGGGAAGAAACAAGGGGTTAAGGAAGAGACAAGGGGTTAGTGCTAGTTACCTGGCTATGCCTCTGTCCGTCATCTTGCACAGACGGCGCGGGTTGTGGAGCGGGCGGCTCGTCGTCGCCGCAGCCGGCCGCCGGCCGCTGCATGCGGACCGCGTTGCTGAAGTCCACGCGCTTGTGGTTGATCCACGCTTCTTTTAGGCAGCCTGAAGTTACAAAATGATTACAGGTATTAAGTAGTCGCAAATAGGCATGATGAAGAAAAGAAAAAAAGTTTAGGTGGCACTAATCAATGACATCTATACTTATAATAAATCTGTAGAGAGGTCAATTCTGTACATGAAATATATTTTCAAAATAACTATCAGGGGGTGATTAGTGATCGATACTGATGCCAAAAATGCAATCAGTAAAATTTTTGTCTGTCTGTCTGTCTGTCTGTCCGTCTGTATGTTCCTTATAGAAACAAAAACTACTAGACGGATTTTAACGAAACTTAGTACAATTATTCTTCATACTCCTGGGCAGGTTATAGTATACTTAGGAATTCCCACGGGAACAGGAATTAGAGGGAAAATGCTTTTGTATGAAAAATCTAAACCGCTTAAGTTAGACGCTTGAAATTTGGCATGTAGGTACCTTAGTAAACTTAAAGCTTAGTTACAACAAGTAATTCCCGAAATGCCCACGGGAACGGGAGTTAGCGGGAAAATCCTTTTGGTATGAAAAATCTAAACCGCTTAAGTTGAGACGCTTGAAGTTTGGCATGCAGGTACCTTAGTAAACTTAAAGCATAGTTACAACAGGATATTGCAAAATTCCCACGGGAAGTGGAGTTAGCGGGAAAAAAGATTTATATGAAAAAATTTAAACCGCGTAAGACAGATGAAGGGGGTAAAACGGGATCCACGCGTACGAAGTCGCGGGCGGCCGCTAGTATAAAATAAAATTGCATTGAAATCATCTTCATTCCATAGAGAAGCGCCTGGATGCGAGTAGCCAGGATTGCTCGTGGTGAAAATCCTTTGGGAAGACCATTGAATGTACGTCTTAATAAAGAAGATAAGATCTAGGTAATGTTACCAAAGTTTTACCAAAAATGTATAATTTTGATTTGAATCATAACCAAATCCCAACCAATAGTCACATTCATAGCCCTCATTAACTCAATAGTCCATCAACTCAAGGGGATCAACAAAACATAGCATGCAAATGTATTGTTTGATCTCTCGCATTTCACGTTTGGTAGCAGACTGTATCAATTAGCAGACTGCAATCAAACGCCTCTGCGCTCAGAACCTCCGAAGTTCAATCAACTGTGAGCTCATTAGTAGGTACTTTAACAAAGAACGCAAAAAGTCCCGAAGACAAAAAAAAATTTTGGTTTGAGTGTTGAAGTGGTTACCTTTGAAGCTGGTGACGTTTCTCAAGTGCCAGCGTCCGAAGGCGACCTTCGCAGCGTCGTCGGGCAGCCCGCCCAGATACATGGCGTTTTCTAGACGAAGGTACTCCTTACTGCCTGGAATACAAAATATAAGTAGAATAACAGGAACTTTGCGATAAAACCACAGATCGCAGAAACTAAAGGGAGATGTGATAAGAGGGCGGGGCCGGTGTCGCAGCAATATGCCCAAAAACAGAACACATTGTTCGTAAATGATGGCAGAAGCGACGTTATATGTCTGGAATTACTATAACTGCTATAACTAAAAGTGCTTAGAACTAAGTGTTGTTTAATTAAAGGCTGCTTAATTAATTAATTAATTAAATTGTTTTTATTTTGATTAGGTACTTAGTGTGTGAATTTCTAATGCGACACCAACTGCCAACCCATAGAACTCAGTGCATTAGTTGGTATCTTTCTAGATCTCTATGTTGGCAATACTGGTAAAGCCTACCTTCATTGATGATGGAGCGGGCGGGCCCGTCGTCCACCCGCAGCGTGAAGTTCTTCTTGACGGCCAGCAGCTCGGCTTTATGGTAGTTGCCGTCCGACACCATCTCGAAACTAAGGGAGAAGATGGATTTCAAATCAAATTAAAACATAATTCATAAACACAGGTAGAAATTGTGATACACTTTGATCTAAAGAACGTACTTACCTAGTGATTATTTGCTCAGTGAGGGCTCTTATACCATAATTCTGTACCCCCAGTGAAAACGGAGTTAAGTCGAAAATGGTGATTTTTGGGAAATCGCATTTGAAGTTAAAAAAAATCCTGCTTCGTCGCTATTAGAGATAACTTGGTGAAATATTTTTTAGGTGAAAGGTAATGTTAGATATAATTAGGCAGTGTGCCAGTTTGGGAAATATAGCATGTAGTTTTTTCGTAATTAAATAAAAACCCAGTTATATCGCCATGCACGGCAACTTTATATTCGTGTAAAGTGATGTAATGGGACATAAATCATTTTACACCACACTGAATTGACCACCCGCCAACAAGTGTAAAGTGATACATTTTACGCTATTTCTGTTGATATTTTTTTGTTTCTTTAATTTTAGAAAAAGTTGTAAAACAAACATTAGTAATTACACTATGAGGAATCATTATTTCAGGTTATTTAGGGTAAATCGTCCAAAAATTTCTACTTATATCAATATACACCAATTTTGTGATGAGAAAAAAAATGNTACATAGTTTTTTTTGTGTATATTAATATGAGTCATCTTATATTGTTAATCACAAATTCAATCTGAACAACTTCAATCGTGTAAAAAGTAGTAACACGAGTCGTACCTCTTGACACAATAAAAAATTGAAAGAAGCCTCCGGTACACTTTGTTTAAAGTAGACATGTATCAATATACACGAAAGAAAACTCAAAATTGGTTCACAAAGCCTTACTTGTATCATTTGGCACAAAATTATTTTCTTTTCTATACGTCGTAGAAACATACCGATTAGATACAAAAATAGCTAATTTTTCAGAGATTCACATTATGTTATAAAGTCAATTTTGATCTAAGTCGAGTTAGATCCCTTTTCACTGGGGGTACAGAATTATGAAGTCGCGTCGTAGAAAACGAAACGACATCGCATCGCCAAAGAAACTTTTTCGTTGACGTCATTTTTCAACATTCAAAGGTTGACAGAGGACATTGAGATTGATCATTAAAATTTAATAACCCTAGTTGATGAGCGTCCTGTAGGTAGGTACTATTGAGACAAAAATGGTGACTCCTGGTGTCGTTATAGCTCATTGGTGGCGTGGTGGCTCACTGATGGCTAAGTAGCTCATTGATGGCTTAATAGCTCACTGTTGGCTTGGTAGCTCAACTATACATGGCAGAAGTGGGATGGTTTCTCACGTCGTAGCTGACACGCAGACGGCTGTTGATCAGCTCCACGTCCGGAGGTGCTCGCGGTAGCTCACTAGATAAATGGTAGCTCACTCGTTATATAGTAGCTCACTGGTTATACGGTAGCTCACCTGTACATAGTAGAAGTGGGATGGTTTCCCACATCGTAGCTGACGCGCAGGCGGCCATTGAATAGCTCCACGCCAGGTTCTAATGGTAGCTTACTGGTATCAATAGTTCCACGCCTAAATGGTCGTGGTAGCTCACTGGTTACATGGTAGCTCACTGGTTACACGGTAGTTCACTGGTTACAAGGTAGCTCACTGGTTACAAGGTAGCTCACCTGTACATAGTAGAAGTAGGATGGTTTCCCACATCGTAGCTGACGCGCAGGCGGCCATTGAACAGTTCCACTCCTAAATGCTCGTTGTCGCCGAAGTACATTAGTACGCCGTGCTTTTGGGTCGTACTGAACACTGCAATTGAAGAAAAACATATTAGATTAGATTGACTTGATGGACTTACGACTTTAGAGAACTGTCGTTGGCCGCAGAAATTCATTATTACCTACTTATTAGGAATAAGTAAATTTTAACGGAAACTACCTTTCCGAACGCCGAACTTTATTCATCATCATCAACAGCCCTTTACAGTCCACTGCTGTACTATGAGCCTCTTCCACTATAGTGGAGGGTTTTGCCATAATCCCCACGCTTGGCAGGCGGGTTGGAGATCGCAGTTTAAAAGATTGATGTTTTTCAGAGAGCGCTGCTGCCCGTTCTCTGTTTGATGTGTAGTGTCCCTAAGTCGCCTCTTACGACACCCGCGGGAAGAGTAGGGGTTGGTGACAAATGTATTCTACTCTGCCGTCACCACACGGCTTTATTACTAGAGTATTAAAATGTTAGGTTTTCGAACTTACCCAAAGTGACGTTGGCTTGCGGCATAGTGCGCAGCGGTTCTAACTCCACCCACGAGTCGTTGTGGCTGAACGTCAGCGACGTCAGGTACTCGCAGAAGCGGCCTAGGGAAGACAAATGAATAGTTAAAATATTATAAAGCTGAAGAATTTGTTTGAACAAATATTTTTGTGTTGGATAGCCCATTTATCGAGGAACGCTTTAAGATAAATAACATCACCCTACAACCAATAGGGGCGGAGCAGTAAAGAAAGATGTTGTTTGCAACATTTTTCCGGGAAAAGGGAAATATTATTCAAACTATTTTCACGCGTACGAAGTCGCGGGCACAGCTGGTTAACCAATAATTTGAAGACTACTTCTTTATTAACCTTCAATTATTGTTAGGCCTAGAAATTGAGTTAGTTTTTAATTTGCTGTAATAAACGATTTTTAGCAGCTCTGGAACCTTTTGTTAGCTTCAATTGTCCTCAATTAACTACACTAATTTCTTCAGCTTCTAAAAGTTACTGTGTTATTTACTTATCAATTTACCTGAGTAACCTGGCGCGCACTTGCACAAGTAGTCGCCGGCGAGTGAAGGCCGGTCCATTAGCATGTCGTCCTGAATAGCAGAGAGAGATTATTTTAAACATTTTTAAGTAAGGCTGCTCGGAGGTATGTACAGTTTTACGAGTATGTCGCACAGATCTAATTCAATTTCTAAAATAACAAAATAACTTCGCCAAGGTCCAGGGGTCTGGGTGACCAGGGGTCCATGGGTTTGGGGGCCAAGGGGGCCTGAGGGCCACTGTCCTGGGGTACAGTGGTCCGGAAGACCTGGGGGGCCTGGTGCCAAGGTCCTGGGGGGCCTGGGGCCCGGGGTCCATAGTCCGAGAGTTCATTACCTGGGAAGGCTGGAGCAGGTAGCACACGCTGTGCCGTGTAAACAGTCTGGGGGTCCAATGAACTGGTGGGCAGGTGTAAATTACCTGTTGTGGCCGGGGCAGGTAGCACACGCCATGTAAACAGTCGTGATGGGCGCAGGGCGAAGTCCCGAGCGCGGCGTGGGGCGCAGCCTCGTAGTACCGGCCGGGGGTTCAAGGGTCCAGGGGTCCAAGGGTCCAAGGGTCCAGGGGACCGGGGGTCCATTACCTGCTGAGGCCGTGGCAGGTAGCACACGCCGTGTAAACAGTCGTGGTGCGCGCAAGGCGAAGTCCCGAGGCCTGCGTAGGTCTGAGAGTCTAGTACCTGGAGGGTCAGGGGTCCAAGGGTCCAGGGGTCCAAGTGTCCAAGGGTCCAAGGGTCTAGGGGTCCATTACCTGCTGTGGTCGGGGCAGGTAGGACACGCCATTAGTCAGTCGTGGTGCGCGCAGGACGAAGTCCCGAGGCCTGCGTAGGTCTGAGAGTCCAATAACCTAGGGAGTACGGGGGTCCAAGTGTCCAGGGGTCCGGGGGTCCAGGGGTCCATTACCTGCTGTGGCCGGGGCAGGTAACACACGCCGTGTAAACAGTCGTGGTGGGCGCAGGGCGAAGTCCCGAGCGCGGCGTGTGGCGCAGCCTCGCAGTACCGGCCGGCGTAGCCTGCGGCGCACGCGCACTTGTACTCGTCGAGGCCGTCTACGCAGGTCGCACCGTTCTAAACGAACAGAAAAACATAATTACCTATCATCATCAGTTATTTAATTTTTAGCGTTAAGAGTCGCAATAATCGCATCTCATACTAATTTGAAAATCCTATCCTACTATAAGTCTGGTCCGTGAGCACGTAGAATTTTGTCCAATGTCCCCAAGCTACCCATCCTTATCGCTCGCGAGTAATTATGTTGCTATCGCGGTCGCACACTCACTGCGGGCGCCCGTCGCACAGTCGCGACAGCAATATAATTACGCGCGAGCGATAAGGATGGGTAGCTTGAGGTCATTCGACAAAATTCTACGTGCTCACGGACCGGGCTTTATCCTACAAATATTATAAATGAGAAAGTTTGGATGTCTGGATGTTTGTTACTCTCTCACGCAAAAACTATTGAACGGATTTTGTTGAAACTTTACAGTATTATTGTTTATAACCCTTAATAACATAGATATATGCTACAATTTATGACGATATTTGTGGTAAACTAAATTTCACGCGGGTGAAGCCGCGGGTAAAAGCTACCACACCGGCAGATTTAGAGGAACGGAAAAAAAAGCATCAATATCATCATTATTTTAGGAAAAAAATGCCTAATTATGACATTATTTTTTAATTTAATTCTAAATATGAAAAAAATAATTGCCAACAGTATATTTTTTTAATTATTTTGTTTAAATTACCCCATCAACAGTTTCGTTGAGTGTTTTGAATTGAATGAAGCTTTTGCTAATTTGGATTTCTTTTACGTGAAAGATGTTTTTTTCTGAGAATTTTGTTGTGTAAGCATTCAGTTACTTATAAGGGTTTATTATGCCCAGCTTAGCACCGTCAGAAATCATTAAGGCAGATGAAATGAGAAGTAACGGCCATGCATACAAATCGGCTGCCGTAAGACGTCGTTGATCAGTATCGACCACCCATGGCAGTAACCAACGGTACAGATTGATCATTTCTGTCGTTAGGAGGAGGGTTCAAGTCAGAAAAAGGCGTACTTCGCGACGGGATGACCGTTTTTTACAACTTCGAGTTTTCAGAAAGTCGCGGTTACCTGCTGTTCAAGCCAGAAATAACCTTAAAGNAGCATGCTCAGATGAATGGAAACCATCATCAGAGCAAGAGGGGGAAATACCCATCATTAATTCATTCATTTGGATAGTGATAAGCTACCCTAATTTTTAATCTGGCCACAATTTCTAATTTTTGTTCAAAACTGAAAAATTGAAATTTCGTTTCGATGATTTTTTATTAAATAAAAACGACTAAATATTTAAAAAATATATGTTATTTTATTTTATTTTAATTATCTCTTTATTTTGTATAATAAATATTTCATAGATCAGTAGTAATTTTCCTTATTTTCATACTTTTTTTTGCGTTCCGCTAAATCTGCCGGTGTGTGTAGTTATAAATAACTTGAAAAAATCGAACTGCCTAAGGCGGCAATTGAACCCACGACCTTCCGCTTGCCGGGCGATTGCTCTGGTGGTGGGTTCAATTCCCGTCTTAGGCAGTTCGATTTTTTCAAGTTATCTACGACTAGGTCGGATCTACGACTGTCCCATACTCTCTCTCTTTCTCGGATCTACGACTGATATACACCACTAAATTTTAATCACCGAAAAAAAAATTCTGGGTAATGAGTTATTGATACTGATCCCATTTGTGCAAAAAAAAAGAGTAAAATAAAGTGACTCAAAATATCCTCCTAAAATTGGTAATTTATTGACACACGCGTCGCTAGCACTATTTAAGTACGATAATGTAACACTTATTAGAATTAAAAATGGTCTAAGTTAGCTAAGTATGTAATAATAACACTGGAAGCGTGGTGGAGGCGTGAGCGAGACAGACAGATCGATCAACGTGCGAGCGCGTACGACTACTCTAGCGAGCAGCGGAGTGACCCAGCTGTGACGCGTAAAATACGGACTAACGAAAATTTAATAAAAACATTAACTTCATGAAAACCATTTCTTTTTCTTTTGCTTTCAATATTCCACACGTTTCTAGATAACCTGTTAAAAATTTTTCGGTGATAAAAATTTAGTGGTGTATACTCTCTATCTCTGTGCAGAAGGGTATCTTCTCACAGAAGCCAGTGGTAGGGTTGAAATAATACAGGGACGTGTGAAACCGCTTTTTAAAAGCCATTTTTATATGACTTACTGGAGGCGGCCTTCTTCCAACAGCTGTCATTGCTCGAGGCTAATGGTGGCACGCATCTATCTCGTGCTGGCAAGAGTCGCCGTGAAAGCTTTAGAGAGCACACGTCAGTTCTGCGTCGCTCTATAAGAGCACACGTCAGCTCCGCATCGTTGTCCCATACTCTCTCACTGTCCTCTTTTCATAGCCGCGCTTCTTACCTGGCACATGTGGTTGATGCAGTCGTCGGCATTGACCGTGCAGTTCTGTCCGGAATAACCCTTGGGAAACGAGCAAGTGTAGTGGCTGGTGTGATGTTTACAATTAAAGGACGACGCACATTTATCAACCCGGAAAGGGATCGTAACCATATGAACTGGAGGCGGTCAGTATTCTTTGTATGAAACTCCGTACTGCAACGCACACTTATTAAGCGCGCCTTAACAGCGCGATGACATCTCGTGAAAGGCAACACGGTCCTGACACGGTGTTGATCATTTTTCAAGTTGATAAGTCTGTTATAACCTTAAATGACCTAATGATTGGGATCAAATGGAGGAATTAGAAGACATTTTTGTCCCCTTTTCATAAAATGAATAAAAATTCTTGGACATTTTACGTCATCTGGGCTCAGACTAAGCAAATCTTGTGAGGGTACCAGACAACTTATTACTAGTACTTAGTCCGGTACGTGAACCATAACACCAAACGGCCAATTAACACCTCTTACCTGGCACATGTGGTTGATGCAGTCATCAGCATTAACCGTGCAGTTCTATCCCGTTTTAAAGAGCACACGTCAGTTCCGCATCACTCTAAAGAGCACACGTCAGCTCTCACGCTTACCTGGCACATGTGGTTGATGCAGTCGTCCGCATTGACCGTGCAGTTCTGTCCCGAGTACCCCTTTATTAAACCCCTTAATAATACGCTCTCTCTTTCTCTACCAGTAGGCCTAAGATGCGCGCCGTGATAACTTTTATCGACGTCAAAATATATGGGCAAGATCGATAAAATAGCGTGATAACCGCTTATCGCGGCGCGCATCTTAGGCCTACAGATCTACGACTATTCCCTTTTCATAACGCTTCTTACCTGGCACATGTGGTTGATGCAGTCGTCGGCATTGACCGTGCAGTTCTGCCCCGAGTAGCCCTTGGGGCACGAACAAGTGTAGTGGCTGGTGTGATGTTTACAAAAAGGACGACGCACATTTATCAACCCGGAAAGGGATCGTAACCATATGAACTGGAGGCGGTCAGTATTCTTTGTATGAAACTCCATACTGAAACACACACTTATCCGCACCGGAACGTAAACGCCTAGCCTCGTAATTGACAGCGTGCGAGAGGAGATGACAGCTCCATTTTACTAAACGGCCAACTAAGTAACGCTTCTTACCTGGCACATGTGGTTGATGCAGTCGTCGGCATTGACCGTGCAGTTCTGTCCGGAGTAGCCCTTGGGGCACGCGCAGGTGTAGTGGCTGGTGTGGTCGCTGCACACCGCTCCGTTGGCGCACGGGTTGAACTCTGCTGTGCAGAAGGGTATCTTCTTCTCGCAGAATTCGCCTGAGGAAGGAAGACTAGAATTAATGTTTATGCCTTTATATGTTCCTAAATAGAGCCTTTTTCATCATCATCATCTCAGCCATAGGACGTCCACTGCTGAACATAGGCCTTCCCTAATGCTTTTCATGTTACCCGGTTGGTAGCGGCCTGCGTCCAGCGCCTTCCTGCTTTATGATGTCGTCGGTCCACCTTGTGGGTGGACGTCCCACGCTGCGTTTTCCGGTACGCGGCCTCCACTCCAGAACCTTGCTGCCCCATCGACCGTCAGTTCTGCGTACCCATAGAGCCTTTTTAGCTTGGGTTTTTTTTAATTTCTAGCCTGTTCCTCTGTGGTTGAGGATTCCGGATGAAACCTTCCACATTCGGTCTGATCACCACTTTGCATCAGGTGAGATTGAGATGCAAGTCAAGAGCTGAGCTTCCTCATTGTGGATTTAAAAAAGCGATGATGACCTACAGATGACGATTATGATGATGATCACTCACCCATATACCCCGGCGCGCATTTACAAGAGTATCCCTCCAGTCTGTCCACACAAGTCGCGTTGTTCTGGCAGCGATGCGCCGCGCAGTCGTCGATGTTCGCTTCGCAACGCACGCCTGTGTAGCCTGGCTGGCAGGAGCAACTGGGGAAGAAAGGCAGAAGTCATTAGAAAGATTGGATTAGAACATTGATGCAGGACATTAAAGCGACTAAAGTTTTCCTTCAACATCGACTGAGTGTGTTAGTGCTATGTTTTTGAGGTTACGTTAGCTCTGTCTCGCTCTAGAAGAGCACACGTCAGCTCCGCTTCGCCCTAGAGAGCATACGTCAGCTTCGCCTCGTCCTAGAGCGCACACGTCAGCTACTTACTGAAACCGTCCTTCTTCCAACAACTGGCACTGTCCATGAGCGCACGGGGCCCCGTAGCACGCATCTATCTCGTGCTGGCAGGCGTCGCCGTGGAAGCCCCGAGCACAAGCACACTCGAAGCCGCCGCTGCTGGTGGCGGAGCAGACGCCGCCGATGAAGCCTTTTGTCTCGCTCTAGGGGAGCACACGTCAGTTCCGTCTCGCTCTAGAGAGCGCACAACAGCTCCATCTCTCTCTAGGAAAGCATACGTCAGCTCCGCTTTGCTCTAGAGAGCACATGTCAGCTTGGTCTCGCTCTAGAGACACTAGAACTCGCTGAAACTCTCAGTTACTTACTGAAACCGTCCTTCTTTCAGCAGCAAGCCTACCGTCTCGCTCTAGAGGAGCACAAGTCAGCTATAAAGAGCACACGTCAGCTTCGCCTTGCGTTAGTGAGCACACGTTAGCTTTGACAATTAGCTACTTACTGAAACCATCCTTCTTCCAACAGCTGGCACTGCCCATGCGCGCAAGGGCCCCGTAGTACGCATCTATCTTGTGCTCTATTAGGCTTCACCGTGGAAGCCTTAGAGAGCACACGTAACCTCCGTCTTGCTCTAGAGAGCATATGTCACCTCCGCCTCGCCTAGAGAGCGCACAACAGCTCCGTCTCAATCTAAAGACACTAGCTCGCTGAAACTCTCAGTTACTTACTGAAATCTTCCTTCCTCCAGCAGCTGGCACTGCCCATGAGCGCACGGGGCCCCGTAGCACGCATCTATCTCGTGCTGGCAGACGTCGAAGTGGAAGCCTACACTCTTCCATCTTGCTCTAGAGTCTAGTGAGCACACGTCAGCTCCTACGCGCTCTAAAGAGGAGCACATGTCAGCTATAAAAAGCACACGTCAGCTACTCACTGAAACCGTCCCTCCTCTAATAATTGGCACTGTCCATGAGCGCACGGGGCCCCGTAGCACGCATCTATCTCGTGCTGGCAGGCGTCGCCGTGGAAGCCCCGAGCACAAGCACACTCGAAGCCGCCACTGCTGGTAGCGGAGCAGGCGCCGCCATTGCGGCACGGGTTGTTGTGGCAGCGGTCGCATTTGGACACCACTTCGGAAGGCGGCTTGCCTGGGGAGAAAATAAAAATTATACATAGGTAAATGATAATTAAAATCCCACCAACAACTGTGAAAAAGTTATTTGATCGCATGTAGAGCCAAGCTTGTAACTGTACACCATACAGCCTAGTCAAAGTTTCGCTCAATATGGTGAAAATTCACTGGTTACCTTTCTGTTATACAATAGTTCTTGTAGTAACGTAATGGCCAAGCCACATATTTTGACTACTTGAAGTGTAGTGTAGGTAGTGCTGTGCCCTCAGATTTTAAATCTATTTCAGATGAGAATTAAATCTACGGCCTTTGAACTGCTCTGACCATTGAGCTACTGAGCGGACAACTGCTCTGACTACTGAGCTACTTAGCGGACAATTGCTCTGACCATTGAGCTACTGAGTGGACTACTGCTCTGACCGCTGAGCTACTGAGCGGACAACTACTCTGACTGCTGAGCTAATGAGCGAACAACTGCTCTGACCGCTGAGCTACGGGCCTATTCCCACCTCTCGTTCCCACCGCTGCAACTCCTGTGTAGCCAGGATCTACAGCTTGACCGACATTAACCCAACCAGTGAAGGTCAAGTTTGTCCCGGGGGAAAGTGACCACTGGGCTATGACACAACTAGGATTGTGATGATGATGATGACTCACCCTTGCTGAGAGAAGGACTGACACTACGCATCGAGGTAAGGGAGAGAAGCGAAGAAAGGCACAGGAGTGGGGAAGCGGAGCAGGGAAGCGGAGAAACGGAGGGGAGGTGGGGAAGATACTGAGAGAAGCGGAGAGCAAGCGGGGAAGGGAGCAGAGAACAGAACAGGAGCGGAGAATGGGAAGCGGAGAAGGCGGGGTAGCGGAGAGAAGTAGCGGAATGGGCTAATGGAATGGAGAACTCACCCTTTATGAAGGGAAGCGGAGAGAAAGCGGAGAACTCACCCCTGAAGATGAAGGTAAGCTGAGGACAAGCTGAGAACTCACCCTTGCACACGAAAGCAGACGTCTGCGTACTAAGCACCAGCTTGTCTCTCATCGGTGGCGGGCCGGCGCAACGCGCGATGCCTGGCTCGACGTATTCGCCTGCTGTCTTGACCCATTCTGAGAGCCAGCGAGCGCCGCAGTCGCAGTAGAGTGGGTTCGAACCCAGCGCTCTAGAAGGAGACAAAACATTTTATAAAAAGACTTAAGCCAGGCCTGTTCATCTCCGCCTCGGAGTTGCCTCAAGACACTGAGAGGTAAATAAGTAATTAATATTATTCAAGATAATTTATGCTAAATCATGTATTTCCTCCGCCATTTTCCGCAGTTTGGCACCTTACGTCACATCAAAGTCTTCGGCGTAGTGCCGATCACTGACGTTTGTCAACAAAACCTTGACTCTTGAGACAGGCTAAATTACACCATATTGTTAATGACATTGAGCATACATTTTTTTAAATATCTTCGCGAAGTAAAACTTCTGTACGTAGTTAGTACTTATTATTATTCTGTGCTTAAGCTGAGTTGCACCATCTTAGTTTAACTTTGACAAACGTCAAAAACCTGTCAAACTCCATACAAAAAGCACCGGTTATTGTTAATTTTACGGTTATGAGGTGCAACTCAGAATTAAAATGCATCTCAAATTATTTTCGATAGGTTCAGGCGGAAATTGAACCTTTCACTTGCCGGACAATTGCTAATGGTAAATCTGTCGATTCAAGTGAATTAAATTTTTGCAGTTTTAGTCAGCTAATATTACAGGTATTCCTTACTAAGAAAATAATAGTATTCACTATACATTACAAGGTGCTAAATACAATTAACAGCACATCCGACTATACAGGGTGTCCCAAAAAGTAGTGTCAAGCCTAGAGGTAGCCTCCTGCTCCTCCTATAGCGTAACCTCTGGGCTTCGGCTTGACACTACTTTTTGGGACATCCTGTATATTTGCTTAGTTTGGGACTACAAGCACAGTGTAAAATGTTCAAGGATATTTTATTTATTTTTGTTGCAAAAAAGCCTTTAATACAACGAAATAAGACGCCACTGTTTTGGCTTGATGTGCTGTCGCCCGTACATTAATATCAAGGTAGTAAAAACATGAAAATAAATACTCACACGTGTGAGATGGATTCCAAGTCCCTGAACACTCCGTCAGCCAGCGTGGAAATGTTGTTTCCATGAAGAGATAGCACGCGGAGCTGTGTCAAGCCTCGCAGGGCGTCGCGCTGTCAAACGAACGATATTAAAATTATTACAATGCAGGTCTCCGAATACAAGAAGATGAAGCAATATATGACCATTGATTACAGCTCTGTAGACTACAGGTAAAGTCCGGTCGCCGAGCAGATAGAATTTCGTACAATGACCCCAAGCTACCCATTCCTATAGCTCTCGTGCGTGATTATAATATTGCTGTACTAGCACGTAGACTGACCTGTACCCATCTCAGATGGTTGTAGTTCAGTTAACTAGTATGTAGACTGACCTGTACCCATCTCAGATAATTGTAGCTCAGTTAACTAGCACGTTGACTGACCTGTACCCATCTCAGCTGGCTGTAATTCAGTTAACTAGCACGTAGAATGACCTGTACCCATCTCAGATGGTTGTAGTTCAGTTAACTACCACGTAGTCTGTCCTGTACCCATCTCAGATGGTCGATGCTCAGTTAAGTATCACGTAGACTGTTCTGTACCCATTTCAGATGGTTGTAGCTCAGTTAAATAATATGTAGACTGACCTGTACCCATCTAGCAATAGACTGTCCTGTACCCATCTCAGATGGTTGTAGCTCAGTTAAATAATATGTAGACTGACCTGCACGCATCTCAGCTGGTTATAGCTCACGATGAGGGTAGCCAGTTTAGTCAACCCTTCAAAGGTGTCGTTTGCGAGCACACTGATCTGGTTGTTTGATAGATCAAGGCGCGTGAGCTGCGACAGGTGACGGATCTGGTCCGAGGTGATTGTTGTGATTTTGTTGGATTCTAGGTACCTGGAAAAAGAAGAGGATAATAAATGCTTTAGATAGGGCTGTTCTGCTTCTCCTTTGGTCCAATGGCAGTTTAACTGGTTTAACTTTCCCCCGGGACAAATTTGATCTTAACTGGTTGGGTTATCCCGTTCTCCTTTGGTCTGGTAGGATTTGCTTAAAGATTGGATTTTCTTTTAAAGATAGATAGTTAAAAACGGTCTTCAAACGCGATACCTGGCAAAAAGCACTGTATTAAAATTTTGGCTAGTCCGTTACCTTTTAGTATTCGTTTCGTGTCTTATTTCTTCTTTAAAGGAACGCGCAGAATGCAGTTTCAGGTTTTTGATGCATTTTTTACAACTTGTATTTGTAGCTCAGTGGTTACTAAACATCTTAGTGGTTACCTAGCTCAAGGATCACAACTCGATTATAGCTTAGGTCATAGCTTAGTAGTTACCTACACGTCAGTGGTTGCATAGCTCAGTGGTTACTCACAGCTCAATCGTTACCGATAGCTCAGTGGTTCCCAACACCTCAGTGGTTACATAGCTCAGTGGTTACTCACAGGTCGGTGGTTTGTTACAGCTTGGTAGTCGGTAAAGCTAGTCATATCCCAGTGATCTCTTAAATCTTAGTGGTTAGCTCAGTAGTTACTCACAGCTCGGTGGTCTGTCTCGGTATATTAGCTGGCAGGGCTGTGAGCTGAGCTCGCGAGCAGCGGACGACGGTGCCGGTGCAAACGCAAGCTGACGGACAGTAGTCTGGCGCGAGGCAGCCCTTGTCTTCGGCTGTGGATTAAATAATATATAACTAAATAATTATAATCAAAGCAATAATAGCCGAACGGTGAAGATGTCGGACTGGCCGACTTGTGTGCAACCTGCCCTAGGAAGACGCGATTCTGCGCACATCTGCCGCAATTCCGCCAGTACGTACTAGGGATGTTATGGATATGTAGTTTCGGTTATGGATATAGGAATAATATTATACCGGTTTCGGTTACGGTTACGGATATTTTTTTATTTCGGATATCCGAAATTTTCGATTACGGTCACGGATATCTGTGCTTTAGAATGCAATTTGCAATAGTTGTCCAACACGGTTCATTCATGGCAGCACACTTTATAAAAAAAATAACATTGATATTAGATGGCATTTGTAAAGGTATATCAGGCTGTTATGCCTTTACATAATTATTATGCTATACAAAAAACAATTTAAACTGCCTACATCCGAAACTATCCGAAACTTTTGGATCGGTTACGGTTACAGTTTCGGATATTTTTTTATTTCGGATATCCGAAAGTTTCGGTTACGGTTACGGATATCCATAACCTCCCTGGTACGTACAACTGAAAGGTAGTATCAGTAGTATTGCCATGGGAAGGTGAAGGGTTTGGCTGACTTGTGATCCGAGGAACTGAGATTCTGACCCCGCTGCCGCAACTAGACTATTCTGGTGAACCCCACTCATAACACAAACTTACCACGAGGGGTTAATGTGATTATTAGGATTAACCAGTTGCTAAATCTTTAAAAATAAAGAAGTTTTTTCAATCAAAGGACACCTACTGCTGGAAAAAGGTCGCTTTTTGCAACCTTCACCAGATCGTCAGTTCAAATCAAATCAAATCAAATCATTTATTGCATTACATTCATTGATTTGATTGATTCACCGAGTGTGACCTGGCCTGCCTATGTTTTTTCCCTGTTAATTAGTTAGTGATTAGTGAACTTACGCGAGCATTTAAAGTCGCTCAATTCCAAGTGATGTAAATTAGCGTCTCTTAGTGTTGACGGCGCTCCGCAGGTGGCGGTCGGGGCCAGGCGACGTGACCGCAGCCAAGTTGATAGCCAAGAGATATGACACGCGCACTCCACACTGCTCCGCTAATACACTCTACTTCTCCGCTTCGCTCCGCTTCGCTCCGCTAGCCTACTTCTCCGCTTCGCTTGTCTATTTCTCCGCTTCGCTAGCCTAATTATCCGCTTCGCTCCGCTAGCCTACTTCTCCGCTTCGCTCCGCTAACCTTCTCTGCTTATCCGTTACGCTCCGCTAACCTTATCTGCTTATCCGTTTCGCTCCGCTAACCCACACTACTTCTCCGCTTCGCTCCGCTAGCCTTCTTCTCCGCTTCGCTCCGCTAGCCTACTTCTCCGCTTCGTTCCGCTAGTCTATTTCTCCGCTCCGCTAACATACTTCTTCCGCTAAATTGATCCGCTAGCTCGCTCAGATTCTCCTATAGGTACTTATTGTATTACTCACGCGAGCACTTACCTCAAAGAGTCTAATGAAAGAAGTTGGTCTCCACTGTCTCCCCCCACTCCGCTCCGCTTCTCCGCTAGCCCTCTCCGCTTTGCTCCTTTACCATGTTTACCAGCTCCGTTCCGTTTAACTAAGTTATACTCACGCGAGCACTTGAAGTCGCTCAATTCCAAATGATGTAAATTAGCGTCTCTTAGTGTTGACGGCGCTCCGCAGGTGGCTGTCGGGGCCAGGCGACGTGACCGCAGCCAGGTCGACAGCCAGGAGATGTGACAAGTACACTCCAATGGGTTGTGCTCTAGGTTCCTAAAAAAGAAAGAAAGAAAACTTTATATAAACATACAAAAAACTAGAAACACAATCGAAAAACGTGTTTAAGTTAAGTTGCCATGTAAAAATATTATTATTATCATCATCGAGTCAGTTAGGGCTGAGCTAAACACAATGCAAAAGTGGCGCACTTACCTATTCTAAGTTGAAAGGTTATAATATTATAATGATATTAAAAAATAACCTCAACTAAGGGGGAGTTGAATTTCTTTGGCTTGGCCGTACGACCCATAATACTAGCTACCACTACCCAGCATTTATGAAGCAACACTGGCCGTACACTTGAGAAAACTTCAACGGGTTTACCCAATGTCTAAGTAGCTGACCGTTGGTCAGCGGCAAGCGAAGGGTTAAATATAGGTTTGATTCCCTTCTATTAAAAAATGAATCTAGGTAGGTATACAATTCATTCTAGATTGATCATCAACTTACAGAGTAGACAGCATGGTCAGATGATCGAAAGCCCCCGGTGTGATGCATTTGATTTTGTTTTCTCCCAATGATCTGAAATTATAAATAATTTATATTCTATAAGGCATATAATATAAGCATCAGGTTATTCTAAAGATGTGAACACACAAGTATGTAATCTTTGCAAACATCATCAACATCATTTCAGCCATAAGACGTCCACTGCTGAACATAGGCCTCCCCCAATGATTTCCATGTTGCCCGGTTGGTAGCGGCCTGCATCCAGCGCCTTCCTGCTACCTTTACGATGTCCTCGGTCCACCTGGTAGGTGGACGTCCCACGCTGCGTTTTCCGGTACGCGGCCTCCACTCCAGAACCTTGCTGCCCCATCGGCCGTCAGTTCTGCGTACTATGTGCTCTGCCCATTGCCACTTCAGGTTGCTAATCCTTCGGGATATGTCAGCGACTTTAGTTCGTTTACGCATCTCTTCATTTCTGATTCGATCTCATGAAGAAACACTACACTCACTACACAATACTCACAGCACTGTCAAGCTGTGCAGCCCGAAGAACATCTTGTCAGTGACAGTCTGCAGCAGGTTGCCATCAAGCAGCAGTTCCTGTATGTTGGCAGCGCCGTCGAACGCGTTGTCTTCGATTACCGTTATTCCTGTATAGTGAAATAGCGTCAGTAGGTGCTCAAAGAATGGTGGATCTTGGATCAGGAGGGTAGATGAAGAAAAAAGAGACGATGTGTGTACTAGGGCTTGTTCCCACGGAGACCTAAGGGGACTATTCCCACCTTTCGTTCCCACCGCTGCAACTCCTGTGTAGCCTAAAATACGTCTCGTCTCCGCTTTGGGGGAAAACGGCCTTTAAGAGGGTAGTTGAACAGAAAATATTTTCAATATACTAATGTAGTTGCTACAACTGTTAAACTCAAATAAATATCCACCAAAAACAAAGTTTTATAGAAGTTGTTCAGTTTTAATTATTTAAAGAGTAGTAACTATTCACTATTTAGACATAAAACATTGAAAATCTGAAGTCATCGTATAGCCTAGGCTCAGACAGATCCCAACTTTTAGTTGGACGATAGTTGGGCCCGATTCTGATTTTTATGAAGAATCGGATGATAACAAATCGGTTTAGTGTGCGCACTTTCATATACATCTCCATACTGATTAACAGATTAATTGTGTGACCCAACTTTATCGGCCAGCTAAAAGTCGGTGGACTGCGCCTTGGCTAAACGAGAGTTAGTTTTGCGTAGGGTATGTTAAAGTCCTTACCGTTATTCCTGAAGTCTAGTTTAGTGAGGTCCGGCAGCCTGCCGAACAGGCCGTCCGACTTGATCTGCCCTAAGGCGTTGTCAGACATCAATCTGTAACAATTTTACATGATTATTAACATTTTTGTCGTGTGATGCATCGGAAACGTATCCTAAGATAATACATTTTTTTTTTATGCTAGCCAAGCCAACCTTAAAGATGTTTTAAACACTAAAATATTATGTTGTAATAATTCTTAAAATTTAAACAATTTTTTTAGGATTTGAACCAGTAACTCAACATTTAAACCAGTGACTTAAAATTCGAACCAGTGACTCAGAATTAAAGCCAGTGACTCAGAATTTGAACCAGTATAGTCACTTAAATTTGAACCAAAGACCTACAGAGCACCCATGTTAAGGTTCGGTCAAACCAACGCGATCACACGCAATCAACCGGCGTGAAGCGATGGCGATCAATGCATTTAAGTCTGATCGCCATCGCTGCACGCCGGCTGATCACGTGTGATCGCGTTGCTTTGGCTGAACCTTTAAGCTGCAGATTCTTGAGTACTTCCCTGAAGGACTCAATATTTGAACCAGTGACTCAGAATATAAATATCAGAGATTTTTTCTGAACAATTAGTATTTGAACAAGTAACTTAGAATTTGAACCAGTGACTTGGAAATTAAACCAGTGACTTAAGAAGCAAATACTTACAGGGCATCAGTGTTGAGCGGCAGGTCCTTAGGCACTTCGCTAAGCGACGCGCGCGCGCACGTGACGCTGACGGAGCGCGCGCCGTACTCGCACGCGCACGCCGCCGGGCACGCGCCCGACACGCCACACGCGTTGGCTGTCTCCTCGCCCGCTGGCAGAGAGAAAGAGAAAGAAACATTTATTACTATTGACAACACTCAGAAAACGACAAAATGGTACAATCCGGTCGAATTAACTGCTCACCTGGGCCCCGATTACGCTAATTTTTAACGTCTCCAATACAGACGCGCTTCTTCGATTTCTTCGATTCTGCGATACGGATTGGTCAAAACAGCTGAATCCGTATTGCAGAATCAAAAGTGCGCCTGTATTGGAGACGTCAAAAATTAGCGTAATCGGGATCCTGGCGGCCGTGACGTTACTTCGACGCTCTGAAACGGACGGGGCGAAGTCGAGTGGTCTGCGGATGAGTGCGATGGAGAGTCGCATTATAGCGAGGTGCGCAGTTAGCTCGATGTGATTGGAATCACTCAAAAAACGAAAAAAGGTATCCACATACATAACCGCCTCTGTGGTCTAGTGGTAAGACCACCTGCTTCAGACGCAGAGGTCCCGGGTTCGATTCCCAGTGGGGGCAGATTTTTCTGTTCGGTTTGGTTGGTGGTAGGGCTTGTTCTAAGTCCGCCTGGCTAGCTACCACCATCTTACCTAAGTCTGTCGCCATAACAACAATGTTAACAGCATTGTTGTGTTCCGGCAGTTAGAGGTAAGATAGCCAGTTCCTCCGTGGTTGAGGATTCCGGGTGAAGCTCGCTTCCACCTTCGGCCTGATCGTCACTTACCATCAGGTGAGATACAGGTCAAGAGCTTCCTCGTTGTGGATGAAAAAAAAAAAAAAAAAAAAGACAGCCCAACGATGCTGAAACGTCAAGTGGCTAAAATCAAAACTAACGACCCAGCATTGATAGTAGCGCCCTCCTGTAAATATCATAATTACATGAGAAACTTCTGAACTGTCCTATCCATGACATTGACAGTGGGGCGCCACCGTCAATACCGGATCGCTGGTTCCGATTTTTACCATGTTGGAAACCATAAAGTTGAACGATGGTAGCGCCCCCCTGTCATTGAGTTTGGTGGGACAGTTTAGCGTGGGTCATCTTATAATGATATTCCGCCGGATTGAATGTAACCCCTAAGTGGACATCACTCAAAAAACGAAAAACATATAGCCCAACAATACAGGGAACTTCAAGTAGCAAGAATTGGAACGAATAACCTCATGCTTATGCCCCCCCCCCCCTGGAAGTGGAAATTTTACTTGCCCCCCCAGGCACAGAAGCTGGGTACGCCCATGGTAACCCAGTGCGACAGTAGCGCCTTCCTGTCAGTGCCATATTTAGGACACAGAAGTGTTGTACAGTTGTAACAGTGGCTGTTTTGTTGACACTGTCAAATTGAAAGAAATATAAGTAAAACTCATTTTATTTTTGCAAGCAGGCTTTTAAAACGCACTTTTACACGTCCCAGTATTAACCCTACCACTGCTTCGGGATAATAAATGGGCCAGTGCTGAGAAGAAGCAGCGCAAGAAACTCAGTCACAATGTCAATCTGGGGGCACGGCAGTGCCCCCACCAAGTCGAGCAAAAAAGCGGCACGGCCGTACCATCCTTTTCTCGAAGCAATTCAGGCCATTTTCGACCGCCTGTAACTTCGTTTTGGATAAAACTAGAAGGCTGAATTTTCATGAGCTATGCAGGCATTGTAAAGACAAGGTATATTTAAAATTTCATTCAATTTGAACCAGTAGTTTAAGAATTATAACGGGTCAAAGTTACTTAATTTTGTCACTCACTGACTGACTCACCGATCATCAAAACTCTAAGGCACTTCTAGCAGACCTAGAAGCTTCAAATTTGGAATATAAGTAGTGTTTGGTGTATGAATCAAGGAAAAACTAAAATATTTGGGGGCACGGTAGTGCAACCGCCAAGTCGAGTAAAATTTTTCAATTTCGGTCCAGTTTTCTAGATACATAACTGCTGTCTACAAAATACAAAAAAAGAGAGAGGGAGAGAGAGAGGGAGAGAGAGGAGGGAGAGGGAGAGAGAGAGGAGAGGGAGAGAGGGAGAGAGAGAAAGAGAAATAGGATCGGGTTCTTCCATAAGTACGCGGCCAGCCAGCGCAGTGCGCAGTCGCAGGAGGACGACGCGGCCGCCGGCAGCGGGGAGAGAGAGAGGAGGGAGAGAGAGGAGGGAGAGGGGGAGAGAGGAGGGAGAGAGAGAGAGAGAGAGAGGAGGGAGAGAGATAAGAGAGAGGGAGAGAGAAAGGAGAGAGAGGGAGAGAGAAAGGAGAGAGAGAGGGAGAGAGAAAGGAGAGAGAGGGAGAGAGAAAGGAGAGAGAGAGGGAGAGAGAAAGGAGAGAGAGGGAGAGAGAAAGGAGAGAGAGAGGGAGAGAGAAAGGAGAGAGAGGGAGAGAGAAAGGAGAGAAGGGGAGAGAGGGAGAGAGAAAGGAGAGAGAGAGAAAGGAGAGAGACATAGAGAGGAGGGAGAGAGAAAGGAGAGGGAGAGAGAGAGAGATAAAGAAGTCAGTCAGTCGTACTCACGCTTGCACTTGAAGTGCTCCTCCCTCAGCGCGTCTATCCGCTTGCGACTCATTCTCTTGGGCGCGTCGCACTTGGCGCCCGACGTCTCGGTCGGGTTCTTGCGCAAGTACGCGGCCAGCCAGCGCAGTGCGCAGTCGCAGGAGGACGGCGCGGCCGCCGGGCAGCGGAGAGAGAGAGAGACGAGAGAGAGGAGGGAGAGAGATGAGGGAGAGAGCAAAGAAAGGAGAGAGATGAGTGTGGAGCGAGAGATAGAAGGGAGTGTGGATAGAGAGAGAGGGAGGGAGAGAGAAAGGGTGGAGAGAGATGAGGGAGATATTTAGGGGGGGAGGGAGAGAGTGTGAGGAGGGAGAGAGAGCGATGGGAGAGGGAGAGAGGGGGGAAAGAGAGAGAGGGAGAGAGAAAGGAGAGGGAGAGAGAAATGAGAGAGAGGGGACGAGAAAGGAGAGAGAGAAAGGAGAGAGAGACAAAGAGAGAGAGGAGGGAGAGATGAAAAGAGAGAGGGAGAGAGAAAGGAGATAAAGGGAGAGAGAAAGGAGAGAGAGGGAGAGAGAAAGGAGAGAGAGGGAGAGAGAAAGGAGAGAGAGGTGTGGGAGAGAGTGAGGTAGAGAGAGAGAGAGCAAAGAAAGGAGAGAGAGGAGAGATGAGAGACTGCGGAGAGAGAGATAGAAGGGAGTGTGGAGAGAGAGAGAGATATAGAGAGGAGGGAGAGAGAGACAAAGAAGTCAGTCAGTCGTACTCACGCTTGCACTTGAAGTGCTCCTCCCTCAGCGCGTCTATCCGCTTGCGACTCATTCTCTTGGGCNCTCCACGCAAAAACCACCGAACGAATTCCACTGAAACTCCACAGTAGTATTGTTTACAAACCAGATCAACACATAGGCCACAATTTATGACGGTATTATGTGACAAATAAATTTCAACAAATAAATAAGACGTCTAAAAAGCGCTATCTATCGTCATTGGTTAAAATCTACAGCGCTTGGCAAACCACTGTTTTTGACATTCGTAAATATTCATGCCGTGAAACACCATCTATCAACACAATATCTAACGGGGGCAAATCATGGTCCACGCGTACGAAGTTGCGGGTGGCCGCTAGTAAAAATAATAATAATCATAAATGTCAGCAGGTATGCGTGCCCGACGCATGCAAGGGAACATGTTCGCCCAGGCGACTATTACTGCGTATACCCATCTGCCCACCTTGTGGGTGGATATCCCACGTGGCCTCCATTCCAGAACCTTTCTGCCCCATCGGCCGTCAGTTCTACGTGTTATGTACCCTGCCTGATACTACTTCAGCTTGCTACCCGAGTATAGACCAAATCCTCCATTTGCCTCTGGTAAACTAGAGAATGACCTGATGATGATACTCACGCTTGCATTTAAAGTGCTCCTCCCTCAGCGCGTCTATCCGCTTGCGACTCATTCTCTTGGGCGCGTCGCACTTGGCGCCCGACGTCTCGGTCGGGTTCTTGCGCAAGTACGCGGCCAGCCAGCGCAGTGCGCAGTCGCAGGAGGACGGGCCGGCCGCCGGGCAGCGGGGAGAGAGAGGAGGGAGAGAGGAGGGAGAGAGAGGGAGAGAAACAGGAGGGAGAGAGTGGAGGGAGAGAGAGAGAGAGGGAGAGAGTGATGAGAGAGAGGAAGAGAGAGGAGGGAGAGAGGAAGAGCGAGGTGGGAGAGAGGGAGAGAGAGGAGGAAGAGAGAGAGAGAGAGAGAGAGAGAAACAGGAGGGAGAGAGTGGAGGGAGAGAGTGAGAGAGAAACAGGAGAAAGAGAGTGGAGGGAGAGAGAGAGAGTAACAGGAGGGAGAGAGAGAGAGAGAGACAGATAAAGAAGCCAGTCAGTGGTACTCACGCTTGCACTTGAAGTGCTCCTCCCTCAGCGCGTCTATCCGCTTGCGACTCATTCTCTTGGGCGCGTCGCACTTGGCGCCCGACGTCTCGGTCGGGTTCTTGCGCAAGTACGCGGCCAGCCAGCGCAGTGCGCAGTCGCAGGAGGACGCTGCGGCCGCCGGCAGCGGGGCAGCGGGGAGAGAGAGAGGAGAGAGGGAGGAGGGAGAGAGGAGAGAGGGAGAGAGAGGGAGAGAGGAGGGGAGAGAGAGGGAGAAACAGGAGGGAGAGATAGAGAGAGAGAGAAACAGGAGGAAGAGAGAGAGAGAGAAACAGGAGGGAGAGAGAGAGAAAGAAACAGGAGGGAGAGAGAGGAGGGAGCGAGGAGAGAGTGAAAGAAAAGAGTGAGAGGGAGAGAAAAAGGAGAGAGAGGGAGAGAGAAAGGAGAGGGAAAGGAGAGAGGGAGACAGGAAGGAGAGAGAGGGAGAGAGATAGGAGAGAGAGACAAAGAGAGAGAGGAGGAAGAGTGAAAGGAGAGAGTGTGGAGAGAGAGGAGGGAGAGAGAGAGAGGAGAGAGTGAGGGAGAGAGAGAGAGGAGAGAGAGAGGGAGAGAGAGAGATAGAGAGGAAGGAGAGAGAGTAGGAAGTTAGAAGACAGGAGTGAAAGAGGGAGAGAGAAAGAGAGAGAGAGGGGAGGGAGAGAGAGGGAGAGAGAGAGGAGAGGGAGAGAGGGACAAAGAAGTCATTCAGTCGTACTCACGCTTGCACTTGAAGTGCTCCTCCCTCAGCGCGTCTATCCGCTTGCGACTCATTCTCTTGGGCGCGTCGCACTTGGCGCCCGACGTCTCGGTCGGGTTCTTGCGCAAGTACGCGGCCAGCCAGCGCAGTGAGATGATGATGACGATGATGATGATGAATAAGGTACACTGTAGGACCAACCACCCGTGTCCACAGTGACGTCGACGTCAAAGGTCAAGTTTCGCAAAGTCGACGACTTCGCCTGAAATTGCTAATATACGTCGCGCGACGTCACCAGATGTGGAGCAAAATCGTCGACTTAATTTGGCAATTTGCTCATAGGTATGGGGGGACTTTTGTCCCCTATCTCTGCAACCTTTAAGGTTAGGTGTCGACTGACCTTGTCTGACTACTTTAGTCCCTGTCTAATTTAAAGTAAGTACTCACGTTTGCAAAGGCTCATTCAATAGCGAGCCATAGCCTAAGACGGAGCCGCAGACGAAAATTCAAGTTAGCTCCGTTTCATTGGGCTCTGGTGGTCATAGGCTGGTTTTAGTGTCACGCGGACTGTCAGTGCGGATCGCTCCGCACAGCCGATCTGTATGAACTGCTAGGGAGCGAGCGGTTCCTCCGGACCGCATTACTCTAAAACGCTCCCTAGAAGTTCATACAGATTGGCCGTGCGGAGCGGGTCCGCATTTTTAACCAGCCATAATGGTTTGGTGATGTTTTTCTCCCAATCGATCTGTGAAAAAAGGTACTCACGTTTGCACTTGAAGTTCTCTTCCCTCAGCGCGTCGATACGTTTCCTACTCATCCGCTTCGGCGCGTCGCACTTGGCGCCCGACGTCTCAATCGGGTTCTTTCGCAAGTACGCTGCTAACCAGCGGAGAGAACAGTCGCAGGAGAACGGGTTGCGGCCTAGATGGCTGAGGAAATAGACATAAATCGTGAATATTTCGCGATTAAAACCAAAAAGGAACGCTTTTAATGAAAACAAATTCGGGTCGTGAAAAGTATTGCGAGAAAAAACAACAGATATGACAGGCGAGAAAATTAACGAAAGAGTAACGAAAAATGTTGGATGTAAAAGAATATCATGGTATTCGTGGTGGCCAGTGTTACGCGACCAAGGATAACCTTAATACTATACAGTGTGTCCGGGCTTGTAGTGATCAAACTTTAAGGGCATAATCTATGGACAATTTTATCGATGAAAATACTTCAAATTTGGGGCTTGACCCATTTCTCGCAAAATTGCAAGGATTTAAGTTTTGAATTTTAAGTTTTCACCTCTTCCTTCAAAAACAAGTGATAGCGTGGGTAGCTTAACACTAATAAGCAAAAATTTTATATCATGCGATAGCCACTAAAATTATCTATTAGTAAAAGTACAAAACACATACAAGTTTCGTACATTTTAAGGGAGTAAGAATGAATTTAATTAGAAAAAACATGACTTTTTTCACTTCTTTTTCAGTTATTTTCCAACACAAGAAAAACCAGGTCGTTAAGGTATGTTTTATTTGCATTGTATTATTAGTATTTGAGTTATTCTACATAATGAATGTAAATTTATTAGTCTACGTCTATTAATTTCGACGTAATTGTTGAACAAAGATACCCCTTCCCAGCAGTTTCCATAGCGCACGCGACATGCGAAAATGCACTGCCTGAAAGAATCACACAACCTATTCCGATTACTATGGAAACCGCTGGGAAGGGGTATCTTTGTTCAACAATTACGTCGAAACTAATAGACGTAGACTAATAAATTTACATTCATTTTGTAGAGTAACTCAAATACTAATAATACAATGCAAATAAAACATACCTTAACGACCTGGTTTTTCTTGTGTTAGAAAATAACTGAAAAAGAAGTGAAAAAAGTCATGTTTTTTTCTAATTAAATTCATTCTTACTCCCTTAAAATGTACGAAACTTGTATGTGTTTTCTACTTCTACTAATAGATAATTTTATTGGCTATCGCATGATATGAAATTTTTGCTTATTAGTGTTAAGCTACCCACGCTATCACTTGTTTTTGAAGGAAGAGGTGAAAACTTAAAATTCAAAACTTAAACCCTTGTAATTTTGCGAGAAATGGGTCAAGCCCCAAATTTGAAGTATTTTCATCGATAAAATTATCCATAGATTACGCCCTTAAAGTTTGATCACTACAAGCCCGGACACACTGTATACAGCGTACTAAATAACCAACTTACAGCGTTTGTATCCCAGTCAAGGCATCAAAAGTACCATTTGATAGAGACCTGATGTTATTGTCGTAGAGAGATCTGAAAATAAATGTTTGATTAAAGTATAATTCAAATAAAATAATCAATTATAAAGACATTAATGTTGATTGTACTCACAATAATTTCAGATTCTGCAAATCTCTAAACGTGTCTTTCCTGACGCACGTTATTTCGTTTGAATTCAGCAATCTGTAAAAAAGTTGTTGTTAATATTAAAAAAAAAATTGTGGACAGTGGATATGTGACCCACGCTGAACTGTCCCACCAAACTCATTGACAGGGGGGCGCTACCATCGTTCAACTATATGGTTTCCAACATGGCAAAAATCGGTACCAGCGATCCGGTATTGACGGTGGCGCCCCGCTGTCAATGTCATGGATAGGGCAGTTCAGTATATTGGAACTATACATCAAGAACTGTCAAAATTTTAGACTCACAGTAGTTGAAGAGACGCCAAGCCGTGGAATATTCCAGATGGAAGTTCTTTGATCTTATTTCCATACAGGACCCTGAAAAAATATACATTTTCAGTTAATAAACTAATTCGTTTAATGTACTTTCAGTCAGACCATGCTATACATATATACAAAAAAAGAAAAAAAATTTTTTGACAACTAAAATAATTTTAATGCGCATACAACAACGGAAAAAAGATGTCTAAAAGGTCACTCACTCAGTAATCATCTTGACATGTTACTTGCAATTAAAAATAAAGAAAAACAAAAAGAATAAAATAAATAAAGAAGGACTTACAAAGAGCTCAGATGAGTTAACCCAGTAAACGCGTCGGCAGCAAGCTTCGTGATCTTATTATTTGAAAGATCTATACGTGTAACTCTCTTTACAGCTGCGAACGCTCCTGTCCCCACTTCTGTTATCTCGTTCTGTTCGAGGCGGCTGGAAAAGGATAGAGATATGTTAGGAATGAGAAGCAATTTATTTGTATTCGTTCATAAATCATTTGTTTTAGTAAATATAAAGAAGGACCTAGAATCGACCCCTGCAAAAGCCTCGTTTGTTGTCAAAGTCNAGTCGCAGCCAGCGGAGAGAGATGATGATGATGACTAAAGTACACTAAGGGACAAATGTCTCGCAACACGTGTCTGTAACATGTCAAGCGAAATCCAGCGGTTTCGCTTCGCATGTGGCAACAAAGCGACTTGGTCAGTATCGATTCTAAAAACTTTGCCTGACATATCTTAATGATATTGTCAGTCGATATCAGGATAACTGTCACATGACCTGTGTGCTTACCATGAGTTTACGTTAGGCGCGCTCGCTAGCGAGTACGTCAAAAAAATCTATGAAGATTTTATTTCTTGAAAGTAGCCGCTAGGGGCGCTGCACAATATGTCATACATTTTAATGTCATTTTTTTACGCAGTCGCTAGCGAGCACACCTAACGTAAACTCATGGTAAGCACACTGTCGAGCAAAGTCCAGTAACGTCACACGATTTCATTTCATGACGCTGGCGACACGTGTCTGACTACTTTAGTCCCTGTCTGATTTAAAGTAAGTACTCACGTTTGCAAAGGCTCATTCAATAGCGAGCCATAGCCTAAGACGGAGCCGCAGACGAAAATTCAAGTTAGCTCCGTTTCATTGGGCTCTGGTGGTCATAGGCTGGTTTTAGTGTCACGCGGACTGTCAGTGCGGATCGCTCCGCACAGCCGATCTGTATGAACTGCTAGGGAGCGGAGCGGTTCCTCCGGACCGCGTTACTCTAAAACGCTCCCTAGAAGTTCATACAGATTGGCCGTGCGGAGCGGGTCCGCATTAAAACCAGCCATAATGGTTTGGTGATGTCTTTCTCCCAATCGATCTGTGAAAAAAGGTACTCACGTTTGCACTTAAAGTTCTCTTCCCTCAGCGCGTCGATACGTTTCCTACTCATTCTCTTCGGCGCGTCGCACTTGGCGCCCGACGTCTCGGTCGGGTTCTTGCGCAAGTACGCGGCCAGCCAGCGCAGTGCGCAGTCGCAGGAGGACGGCGCGGCCGCCGGCAGCGGAGAGAGAGAGAGAGGAGGGAGAGAGAGAGAGGAGAGAGAGGAGGGAGAGAGAGAGGGAGAGAGACGAGGGAGAGGAGGAAAAGAGAGAGGGAGAGAGAGAGGAGCAAATTCATGTTCAGTGCCACAAATGAAGCACTGGCATGTGATGGCAAAAATGGAAAAATAGTATTTGTTGTGGACTCGGGTGCGACTCAACACTTTATAAAAGCAAGTTATGAAAAATACCTCAAGGATGTAGTAGACTTAAAAAGCATTATAAGTATAAAAATAGCAAACGGAGAAACATTGGAAGCAACTAAAAAGGGATACCTAGATGTTTACTATCAAGAAGAACCATTGAGATTGGAAGTAGTTATAGTGCCAGGACTAAGTAACAACCTACTGTCAGTCGGTAAACTCATTGAAAATAGAAAGGAAGTAATATTCAGAAACAAGAAGGTACTGATCATAGCAAACAACAGAAAAGTTTATGAAGGCAACAAGACAGGTCTACTGTATACATTTATATTGCAATTACCAGAGAACAATTGTGCTAACCTAGTACAAGAGAAAGATGACAATTTATGGCACAAGAGAATGGGACATATGTGCAGGAAAAATCTAGCAATATTGAGATTACCATACAGCAAAGAAACATGTGAAACTTGTATGAAAAATAAAGCCACAAGATTACCTTTCAAAACCCTAGATAGATCAAGATCAAGCAAAGTGGGTGACTTGATACACACTGATATATCTGGACCAGCCAGAGTGCCTACAAAAGAAGGCTACAGATATTTTCAAGTAATTGTTGACGACTACTCTCATTTTACTCAAACTTACTTACTGAGAAACAAATTTGAAGCAACTCAAAAACTGATAGAATTCATAAAGGAAATGGAAACTCAAGAAGAGGTGAAAGTGAAAAGAATTAGATGCGATAATGGTGGTGAATTTACAGCGAGTAAACTAAGAATATTTTGTGAAAATAGAGGAATAAAAATTGAGTACACACAGCCATACAGTCCGCAACAGAACGGAAAAGCGGAAAGGATGAACAGAACAATATATATTACATTAATATCAAAACTTTTTAAGAATAGCTCTATTTCTAAGACTTTGCTGGCCAAGCCTTGAATATTTTGATGAACAATCTTGAATGTTCCGGGCTTGGCCTTTGTCGAGTGCCTCAGTTTAAACAACTAGTAGTAGGTACAGTCATAATATTGTTACTATTTACATACTGAGATATCAAATTATTAGTACCCTGACTATGATCAGTTTTATGAGTATAATTACATTTAATATTGTATGCAAACAATGAGGCTAATTTATTCTTAAATTTTGTAGAGAGATACATTGTATCTACAGTCAACTTAAAGCTAGAAATAAATTTATTTACGTCAAAAAGTAAAAGTGCGTCGCTATGACGATAAGTCAAGTTATACATAAGTATATTTAAATCAAATATGTTCTTGTTTATCTTTTTTAGATTATACCCTGAATTTACATAGGGTAAAGTACACAAAATTATCTTAAATTTTAACCTATTTTGCAAATTTAATAGTTGGTCAATATTTTGAATTATACTCTTTTTATCTACAGAGTAACTATTACCATACATTATAATTACATTGGAGTTTTCGTCTAATTGTAAGAGAAATGTAGTTCTAAGAAAGACTAAATTTCTTTGATTTGAAGTTTTACAGTAAAAATTTAAGTTAATAATCCTATCAATAATAAAGTAAAGGCATACGTTCGATAATCTCTTGAGCCTTGATTTAACAATATCAAATTAAAATCTTTAATGTAATCCATTGAAGTAATATTAATGTAATCCAATAACTTGTCAAGGAAAAAAATAAAGTTAACTTTAAATACTTTGGCATGGATAGTAGTTATAAGCTGAACCCACTAAATTGCTTCTGAAAAATAAGATAAGAGTCGTGATTCTGCATTGAACTAAAACACTTGATGATGCTGACAATCATGGATGTATCAGACTAAAATAATAAACTTCAAAGACTAGACACAGTTTTTAAACCCCCAGAGGAGGCACAAAGACCTTTAAAGGGGGGCGCGGGCCATATGTGTACTTAAGTATAAAAACCTGCAACCGCCGAAAGAATGCATTCCAGACTGCTCGATACGACCAATAAATAATCTTGACTGGAGGAGGGGGCGCGGATTTTTTTGTATGGTGGAAAGGGGGCGCATTTCAAATAAGTTTGGGAACTATGTTCTAGAGTCACAGAGTAAATCGCTTACATCTCAGTGGCTCTATGGGGGATGGTGGTAGGCAGTTCTGATAGCAGCTTCTCTCTGCAGTCCACGGTGCCGTCCAAGGAACAGCGGCAAGGCGGCGGACAGCGAGGCTCTGCAGAGCACTCGCCCGAGGATATAGCGTTGGTTGGGCCTGGAATAAAAATATTATTCAGGTTAGAGAAATTTCATCACTGTCATTTTCAGTATAATTTTATCCACATGACGTTTATGGCTGAACAAAAGCCTCGCCCAACGATTTCAAGATTAAAACGGGACTATTCCTACCTCTCGTTCCCACCGCTGCAACTCCTGTGTAGCCAGGATCTACAACTTGACCATCAATAAAAACCCAACCAGTGAAGGTCATATTTGTCCCGGGGGAAAGTTAAATTGTCATTGGACCCGCAACGAAATTAAGTAAGGTACAAGTCTAATAAAAATTTTAGGTTAAAGACTAAATATGAAAGACTTACCACTGCAGACCAGCTCGTGTGCTTCCAAGTCAGTGAGCAGGGCACCTTTCAGCGCTGCTGGAGCTTGACACCTGTTGACAAAGAATGGTTGTACTGTAAGCTCATAATATTTCATATTCTTTTGAAAGTTATGCAGCGATGTTTCGTTCGTTTGTTGTCAGCTAAATGACGTTCACTGCTGGACGCCAAGCTTCCTCAATGACTTCCATAACGACCGGTCAATCCGGCGACCTTCACCAGATCGTCGGTCCACCTAGTGGATGGCCTGCCCACACTACGTCTTAATGCCCGTGGTCGCCACTCGAGAACTTTTCTGCCTCAACGGCCATCAGCTCTGCGCACTATGTAGTGGTCTCTGGCCTCTGGAGATGGTTACTACAAAATACTACTACTCGTACTAGTGTCACAGAGGGTGTGCAGCAAGCAGGAGTTTCAGCCAAAAGACGTCCACTGCTGGACAAAGAACTTCTAAGGATTTCCACAAGGACTCTTCCTTAGCTGCCCCAATGCCATCAGGGGTTACACAAGTTATCTTGTACGAGCTAGAACTCACCTGGCACCAACTCCCGGAATAGCGGCCTGCATCCAGCGTCAAACTTTTAGAGGTCGTCGGTCCACCTTGTGGGTGGACGTCCTACTGCGTATCAGTATGTGGCTTCCACTCCAGAACCTTGCTGCTCCAGTTCTGCGTACTATATGCCTTGTAGCAGATGCTTACCTGGCACCAACTCCCGGAATCCCAGGTCGGTCCCTCCAATCTGCAGGTCGTTTTTCCTTCGTTCATTTCAGCCAAAAGCTTTCCACAGCTAGGCAAAGTACTCTCCCATGGATTTCCACATCGTCTTCACCAGATCATTAGTCCAACAAGTCTTATGTTCCGTCGTCGCCACTCAAGAATTTTACATCAACGGCCATCAGTTCTGCAAGCTATTTTGCAAAAGCAAGAACTAACCTGTCACAAATTCCCAGAACCAAATTCAAATCCTAGCGACCGTAGAGGACAACCTTGTGTTGTCCCAGAGTTCTGGAGTGTAGATTTGTTGAGTCTAGTGATGACTTTTAGTGTCACTAAAGGTTATGGTTACTGAAGGTTGTGTTCAAAGGTTGTACTCACTGAAAATTATGTTTATATAGGTCGTGCAGCCGATGCTTACCTGGCACCGACTCCCGGAATCCCAGCGGCCCTCACAGCAGTAGACAGTCTCGCCACTCTGCAGTCACAGACCACCGGGTTATCCGTGAGCCTCAGGGTGTGAAGCCTGGTGATGGCAGCCGGCTCCAAGGCGAGGTACGTCAGGTTGTTGTTATTGAGAGTGCTGTGGACAAAATGAAAAGGCCATGAAATTGATGCGTACTAAGGAATTGCAATGAATAATGATACGTTCTGAAGAATATAATTTTTGTGCTGTGGAAAAAGGAACAAATTCTTTACGTCACAAGGACATAACTTATGAGTGCCAAGATTTGGAACTTTGGCTTGGCTTGTCTTCCGAACTTGGCACTCATTTAAATTCTATGTCAGCAAAGTGGAAACCTACAAAAACTGGCAATTTCTTAAAACATACTTAAAAAGAGGTTGATATGCCTCAGAATCTTCTACATAACATACAACCCGATCGAGCTAACTGCGCAGTGCGCACCTCGCTGGAATGTGACTCCCCCTCTCACTTAACCGCATACCTACCAGCTTTTGTCCCGGTCCCTACCAGAGCGTCGATGTGACGTCACGTCACGAGGTGCACAATTAACTCGACCGGTTTGTACATTTCAAACTAACAAGACAGTTTGAGGGTAGCCGAAGATCTTCATATCTCAGTGTTTACATTGAGCTCTTTGCTTTTTGCATCGCTGCGACACACAACATGCAGGAAGTATTCTTTCACTTGTAACTGCTTTTGTTTGTTTTATGCATGCTTATATCGTATATCTGCTGTATTCTATTATTTTCTTAATATTGTTATGCTGCAACTTTACTCTTTCATGTGTGTTAAGTGTATGCAAATAAATGATTTATCTATCTATCTTCGAGAATCATATCAAAGTGGATACTCACAGCACTTCAAGGCTCTTCAGATGCTCCAGCGCCTTCTCATCCACACACTTGAGCTGGTTCCCATCAAGATGGAGGCTCTTCAGCGCCGTCAGCCCACGGAAGGTGCGCCGGCTTATTGCGGTCAGCTCGTTCCTGCTTAGGTCTCTGTAATGTACAGGTTATGTTAGTAATGGTAGGTTGGATGCCAAACGTATCGTCAGCAGAATGAGTAGACTGTGAGAGGGAACGTGAAGAGAGACTGCATGATGGGTTTATAGTATATTGACAAGTAGATGAGTGAGGCATTTAAACTTTTTAAGGCTTTATAAAGCTACAAAGTACGGACAATGAGTCTGTGTGGACAGAAAATAATAAAAAAACTTTTTAAGGCCATTGCAAATGAGGAAGAGGGCAGAACCAAAATTCCCGAATCGTGAAAAAAAATATCGAAAAAATGTCACGGACTTAAGGAATTCCTTGCATGCGTTCTGCGGTCACCGGTCAGGTCAAAGTGAACGCAGCTCGCATGATGTATGAACAACAATGTCGGTCTCTAAAAAAAGCCCGGTCGCTGAGCACGTAGAATTTCGTCTAATGACCGCAAGCTACCCATCCTTATCGCTCGCGCATAATTATATTGCTGCCGCGACTGTGCGACGGGCGGCCGCAGTTAGTGTGCGAGCGCGAATTACGCGCGAGCGATAAGGGTAGCTTGGGGTCATTGGACGAAATTCTACGTGCTCGACGACCGGACTAAATATACATTTTGTGTCGATGCGATCTGGCAGCGAAAGAATGCAAACCGCACCACTGACCGTTGTTTTGACCGACAATGTTGAACACACACAGGTGTGCGGACAAAAAAGTGCCTCGTCTTCGTTGTAAATATTGTTCTCTCTCACAGTCATCGGCTGACTATACGTTTGGCTGTTTCTTGGCCAAATGCCAAGCTCTGGACATTCATTGGGGTAAGCGTCAGGGGTTAAGAGGGTTAGCTGACACCATGTTAGGACGTAGCATAGAACGAAGGTGTGTTTAATGTTGTCGAGGATATGATGGGGGCTTGAATGTTTTAAGGATATAGTTATAACTTTTAGGTTGAGTTGCACCACCTGACTTTGACGGTAAGCGCTCCTGCACACGACGCCGTCACCGCGCCGCCGCCGCGCCGCCGCCGCGCCGCGGTCGCGCCCCTACACTGTTCATACGCGCCGAGTAAAGCCCGCCGCCGCGCCGCCACCACGCCATCAAAGCATAATTTCGCCAGCGGCGCGGTAGCGGGCTTCACGCGGCGCATATAAACAGGGTAGGGGCGCGGCGACGGCGCGACGACGGCGCGGCGACGGCGCGACGACGGCGCGGCGGCGGCGCGGTGGTGGCGTCGTGTGCAGGAGCGCAAACTATTAACGATAACCTTGGAGAATTTTGGATAACTATTCTTATACAAAATTCTAGACATAATATTGCCAGATGGTCTATCTTAGTCTACGAATGTCATATTCAATGCCTTCCCAGCTATGCCATTGTCAAGAGGGCGCTACTATCAATACTGGATTGTTAGTTTTTGTTTTTTGCCACTGATGTTTCAAAATCATTGGATTATAATAATACGCACAACGCAGAATGTCAGTAACGCAGAGTGGCAAAATACATAAAAGTGTCACACTCGCAAGGTAGTCATAATGACAAACGCAAAATGTTACTTCGCTACGAATTCTAACCGCTTCGCTTATTTCTCTCGCAAATCTCTACTTCAAAAGTAGCCTAATCAAAAAGGCTTGTCCACAATTTCGATTACAAAGTTTCAATCAACAACTCCTCAACCACTGGAACCCTGAGACTTGGGAGCTAATTAAGGGGCAGGATCGTTTGCACGCGATCTCCCCGTTTTACTTGTAAAATATTCATAGTGGAGAAGCGAGAGGATTGTGTGGACATGCCCTCTAATATTTATAAACTATAAGCCGATAGAACATGCAGTCCACGGGAACTCTAAGGGCACTTTTAAATAAGATGTTTTTGAGCCGTTAGTTGTAAAATAAGTTTATAAAAGGCTTGTCATCTAGCAAATTAGATAGAGTCGTTATTACAAGAACTACCTATTCTTTATTATTCTGTTAAACGGCTTCAATATTGGTGTGTATTTAAAGCACAATGCTTACGCCAATGTTGAGTGTTTAAAGAGACATGGTGGACGATGGAGTTTGTAACGGAAAAGTAATGAAGAGTGAATACATTTTTCACGACGTTTGTGAAACTAAAGGTAGACGGTGTACGGACGGACGAACGGCGAATAGACGGTGTATAGAGTCATAATTCTTGTTATATTAACTTGGCTCTACATGAGAATTGATAACCTTTTAAGCGAGCCAAATGCTCTTGTATTTTTAACATTTTACATGAAAATGTTTTTGGTAGGATATTTTTTTTAAGGTACCCAATCACCCCATAGCTTACTACAATACTTGCTTATTTCGAGACTACCAGCTGTTTAAAAGTTGGACATAGCTTTTCTTTCCAACTCTTTTCTTCTACATTCCATTCGTCTTTGGAACGGTCTCCCTGAAAACGTCAGGCAGGCTCCCAGCAAGTCCACCTTTAAATTCCATGTGCGCAAACATTATCTCGCTGGTGTTTCATCTTCATAATTTCTGTTCAACCTCCTTTTTTTCCCATTTTTTTTTTCCTTCTCTCTTTTTTTTTGTCTCCCTTTGTCATCCATCCTATTATTATATATGTATGTGTCTATGTATGTATTCATATGTTATTTATGTAATTATATTTTTTTTTTTCTAAATTCGTAATTATTCTATACCGCCTACTTTATTTTCAGTTTGGCCCTAAGGTTGACTGGCAGAAAATGTCCGAAAGGCATTAAGTCCGCCTTATGTACACCGTTCTATGTGCATATAAGTTTTTAAATAAAAAAAATAAAAAAAATAGCCAGGTCCACACTAAGCCTTCCCACCCGTGGGGTCGGCAAATTGTTTCCTATCATGAATAATAGAGCTGCTCTCAAATTGGGCGGTTGAGACTTTACGAGCTTTAGCGAGCTTTTTATTGGAGGTCGCTTTACTTCGGCTTAGAGCTTGCGAATAGGATGGAATTCTGATTTAAGCTACTAGATTTTGCCAGTGGCTTTGCACGCATGGATTTAAATTGATATCTATACTAACTAATACAAAGCTGAAGAGTTTGATTGTGATTGAACGCGCTAATCTCAGGAAGTACTGGTCTGATTTGAAAAAATTTTTTTGTGTTGGATATCTTTTTTTTGCTTTGGGCTACATAACATTACCGCGGGCACAGCTAGTAAATTATAGTCTGTATGTTATTCTGATGTTTAAAAAACATTACAGTAAAGTTTTATACAAAACCATTGAGTACTTTTTGCGTGAGAGAGTAACAAACATACCTACATCCTTAGATTAATAAAACCTAGATAGATAGTCAGTGCACGAAAGGTGAGGCAGATTTTAGTAAGCCAGAATGGCTTACTCGTAAACGTCACATGAACTGTCAAAGTGAAAAATTGGTAAACACGTCCGACGACTTTTAATTAATTAAGACGGTTTGTGCTGTGAAAGGGTGTCTAAATACATACATCAGAAAAACTAAAGAAAGTGACCAGTGTTACATTTCATAAGTAAGTACTACGATTCGACGCGTATTTTGCTTGAATTTGGCTTTCAAAAATTAAATACGGGAATGATACCAGTAACAAGAAAATTTATTTCCCAATTGTTCGCCGTACAAATACACTTCCTTTTTTATGAAATCGAGACTTTTCAGTCGATTTATCTTATTGTAATTAGGTAGGTACTTTGAATTCAATAAATAAGTAAGTACATGATGCGTTTTGTTTTTGTTAGTTATAAAATAATTAAAAACGTATTAAAAATTTCCCTACTTTCGGGAAAATCGCCTTCACTGTCTACACTCCCCAACAAAATTGACACTAATGACATAAGATTTTTGCCTCACTCTTGACGAAGCGTTTGTATGAAGACTATCCATCTAAGTTTTATTAATCTAAGCCTACATCCATCCATTCTCACATACTTTCATGTTTCACTACTACTGAATTAAAAATACTTCATAATAAAGATATCAGAGTATTTTGAGCCAAAATACCTTAAATACACCAATTTTCCCTTATTATCGACGACCAATACCAGATAATTACTTGGTCAATATTGGTTACAATATTAACTAGCCGTTAGAACGAAAATAGACAGTATTGATTATTCCTCAGACGATGTTGGATGTCAGGTTAATAAATTAACAAATCAATATTGATGGACTCCCTTTAATATTTTCTAAGACTTACTAGCTCTAACACCAGCAGTACCTATACAGAAAATTATTGAAAAAGAGGCTGACAATAGTGACTGAGTTTCTTGCGCTGCTTCTTCTCAGCACTGGCACACACTACTGTCATAAAGTAATAGTGCCTTTAAAAGAACACTCCAATCCCAAAATGCTTTAGGACAATAAAAGAAGTAGAGCAAAAAAGTTATTCAAAGAAATCATAAATAAGATACCGTTATGGAGATTTCGTTAAAAGAAGTTTGACTGCCATTAAACAAAAGAAGAAGAAGAACAAAAACTGGCATTCATTCCACAGACAAACAATAGAAATAAAGTGACAGCTGTCAATTTACCACCACTTGAATTTTTCCTCTTTTCCATTCACCCTGTAGAGCAGTTGTGTATTTGAAGAACCCAATAATACCCGTCGGAAAATCTTCAAGAGTCCTGAAACGTTTCGAACCCAGCCGAAACCACAAAGAAGGCATTGTTTTTGGATTGCTTCAGAAGTCGAAAGGTCCATTAGACGCCATTTTGGATTTGGCAAATGGCGGACGGATTAGTTGGCGGGAAACTTTTAGTGCTGCTTTTTTAGGTTAGTTTTTTGAGAAACGCTTTAGTGTTTTGAATCTAAACTGTTTGGGGAAAATAGTGCAAAATAACACGGCATTTAATTGTTTAAAATCTTATTGTGAAGACAAGAATTCAATTAAACTTTCTGACTGAGTTTTAGAACCATTTTGGAAGTAGGTGACTGTCACCGAACGAAAAGTTCGAATGTATCTCAATTAAAAAGATGTAACAAAGCGTTTATTATGATTTAAAAAAAAAATTGATTAGTGTTAGTTTTTCAA